AAAAAGACATTACCAAGAAACAGGAAGATAGTAGGGAGAGAAGAAATATATTAGAAAGCAAAACTGGATTTCTAGCGCAGATGCTGCCACAAAGTCATTTTCTCTCTTTTTTAGTTTCTGTTTTCTCATTTGCCAAGTGAGGAAGATGCTTTTTCCTTCTCTGATTCTCTAAAACTTTCAAGACTCTAGGACTTTCTTAAGTGACACTAAAGAAAAGCAAAGAACATCAAAGAGCTCTCTATTTGCTTTCACTTTCTCAATCCACATCCTTTGTGAAACCACAAGGTACTTTGGGATACTGAATGGTTCAGGGAAAGCTTCCAGCATCCAGAAAGCAACCAGATTCTAGACATTGTGACCAACTCCACATTGACATTTGGATCTTGTGAAGTCATTCACCTTAAAATTCTAATAAATCATCAACCACCAGCACTTAGCATCTGCAAACACTGATCATTCTGTACTTTCAGGACTGCCCTGAATTTACCTGTTACCCATCTGGAGGTATACAATCCAGCGCTGCAGAGATTGCTCTTGCAAAGAAAAGTAACAGAGCACCCAATCTCCAGAAGGTTCTCCTGCTTTCAAAAAAGCAGAGGAAGCTACATGTACTGAGAAGACATATGAGCCGAGTCCTGTGCTGGTTGCTTTAATACATCATCAAATTTAATCCACGTACTCAGACAGTAATTATTTCTCTATTCTCCTAATGAAAAAACCTTCAGAAAAGTTAGGTTTATTTATTCCTTCAACATATGTTAAGTACCTACCTTTTAAGTGCTTAACATTTTGCTAACAACTGAGACTACATTGGTGAGCAAAACTAAACATGATCTCTGCCCTCAAAGAGCTTACAGGTCACTGGAAGGGAGAATTAGTCAAACAATCCTTTAAAAAAAAAAGTGCAAAGGAGAAGTTTATGATGTCATAAGAATGAGTGCTAGACAAGGATGGTGGTGATGATTGACATGGGGGGAGGTGCAGCTGCCCACTGCCACACCATCAGTAAGCCAACAGTGCCCAGACAGGACCAAGGCCTGTCTGACTTCAAAGCCACGCTTCTTCTCTCCCTGGCCATCTGTTCATTCATTTGACAATTAGCTGTCTACTATATGCTAACAGACATTCTCCTAGAATTTACAATCTAGACATTAAGCAAATGAGACTTCAAACACATGTATACAATTACAAATTAAGATGAGGACTGTAAAGGGTCAATTTTAATATGGGAAATTACCTATAAAGCCATAGAGATCTTCCAGCTTTTTGATACTCTGAAAAGCCACTTGCCTGTTGCAAGCAAGCACAAGACTTTAAGAAACCTGGCCTGTCACATTAGGACACTTAAGGAGCATGTCGCCAGCCAGCTCCTGAGCCCTTAACTCCTGTATCTCAAACTTGACAAGACCTCTGCTGAAATAGAAGTCTCTCCAAAAGTAACTACTGACTCCTAAATATATTTTCACATACCCTAGCCTCAAAGAACATCACTTACACATACATCTCAAACTCAGTTGGAATACGTCCCACTTTGCAGAATACAGGTAGGTTTTAATATCCTACTTAAGAGATGAGGAAACTGAGGCCTAGACAGGTAAAGAGACCCTATCAAGGTCACTAGGAAAGCACCCAGACCTGCCACGTAACCCTCATTACAAGTGCTTCTGGCCAGGAAATCATGAATCTCAAATGAGACAGCTGCAGGTCATCGAGCCTAGATAAAGTCACCCGAGTCCCATGAAGTTTCTGAGAACAATGATCAGGGACATTAAGCAGCTTGGGAAAGGTTTCTAGAATGCAGCTCCACAGCCTGAGACACAGGTACCCTTGCCAGCTCTCCCAGATTAGAACAAGTTCTCTTGGACTCTTTCCAAGTGCCTCTAACAGAGAAAAGTATTTTTCCATTTTAAACACTGCAGACTCCTAAGAGGGAAAAGCAGAAAGCACACCCCAGGTTCCACACAGACAAGGAGTAAACTTATTCCAATGCCATACAACAGCCCCAGCAGAGCACCTACTGCTGAAGATGCCAGTCTTGCAGCCAGCCTCGACTCACTCGAGTAACACTTGGGGTTGTCAGACAAGGAGTAAACTTATTCCGATGCCATACAACAGCCCCAGCAGAGCACCTACTGCTGAAGATGCCAGTCTTGCAGCCAGCCTCGACTCACTCGAGTAACACTTGGGGTTGTCAGACAAGGAGTAAACTTATTCCGATGCCATACAACAGCCCCAGCAGAGCACCTACTGCTGAAGATGCCAGTCTTGCAGCCAGCCTCGACTCACTCGAGTAACACTTGGGGTTGTCTAATGTTGTGAAGGGGGTGTGCTGGAGGATATTTAGCATCTCTGGCCTCTAGATACGAGTAACAACCCTCAGTATAAGAACCACAGATGTCTCTAACCACTGCAAATATCCCCTGGGGGACAAAACCACCTCTGGGTGAGAAACTCCGGTCCAGAAACTATGGAAAAATGGAAAATCCAAGTGCTCTTCCTTTTTCTCATCTTATCCCGGCCCACCTGTGTGGCCAGATATGTAGTTACTATGATCAATACCAATGTGATAATTTATATTTTAATCAATATCACATAACTAATGCCTTCCAGATAAGACTTGAGAGCCTCTGGGCTGCTGTAACCTACAAGTACTGCATATCCCAGAAACAATTCACCACTGGAGCTTGTGAAAACAACTAGAGTCAAATAACTCCTTGTTCTACTAATGAGCTGCTTCTGACCCTGTAAGGAAATCTTGCTCTTGTTATGAGAGCAGCTGAGTCTGATTAAATGGAAGTCCTAGGTTTTTCTTCTCAATGACATCAGGCCAGGGCCAGGGCTTCTATTGTGCTAGAAAAGAACCCAAAATTGGTGAATCAAATCTCAAGAGACTCCCATACCCACAATTCAGTACAACCAGGACACTCAAGCACCCCAGCTTTAAGCATTCTGGACTTCAGAGAAAGGGGAAAGTGGTCATGTACATAAACAAGCAACCTGAATTAACAAGTTAATTACACAGGTGAAATGTTTCCAAAAAACCATGCTTCTGAGTGGAGGTGGAAACCCAAAGCTAAGCTCCAAAGCAGCTGGAGTGACTCAGCGTCAGGGATGTGGGTTCCAACCTCCCACCCTGAAGGCTGGGCAACTGGCCCAGACGTGAGTATCAGCGTGGGCCTCAAAGAAGCAACAGCTTTATGTCTCTCATAACTAGTTAAAGAGTTACTGACAGACTCAACCAAACTCACTAATATTTGATAGTAAGTGTATTTTACTGCACTGCAATTCTCTGGAGACTATGAAACGCCTACCTGTTGGCGCCTAATTACTCAGACAACTGCTACTTTTTATGCTACTTTTGCACTGTGTACTTAGCTCTACTGTTCACAGCTCATACTGGAATGTGCTGAAATTTGACTACAGATCTGTCTCATCTATGGGCTCCTCAAGGGCAAGATTTACAAAGCATGGTGCGCACACAGACCATCATCATTTGTAGGATAGATGGATGAACAGAAAAGTTTTCTGTCTACTTTCTTAGACTTAAGCCTTCTATCACTTTCTAATAAGCAGGGTAGTCTTGTCTCCTCCATTTCTCCAAGGTTCATTAGCACACTGCTCAGTGGTACTCAACAAACGTAAATGGATTATTCTGGATTCCTGAATTCAAAGCCTCTGCTCATGAAACAGAGTCTCATAAAATAAGTCAGAAATCCTACCTATTCTACTTTACATGTGTTTAGTCCATTTTAACTACAAACAATTTGAGACAGGAAAATTAGTACATTCTCTGAAAGTGAAGAGACACAGAAATGAACGAAACCAATATGGTTGTTTCCCTCACTGAACTTATTGTCTAGAGGGAAAAAAAAACTGTTAGCAACAACTATGCTCTGTGAGTTGTTTAAAGAAAAGTTCCTCCAGATGGGCCCCATCTTCTAGCTGTGTGAGTGTCTTTGAGGAAAGACATGACTTTTCCTACAAACGAATGACATGCTTTTCCTTGTTGCACACTACAAAGTGATGACATAGAAATGACATTGTACATCTTTGCTGTATAGGCAATGTTTCAGAATGATAGTAAATTGTTTTAAAAGATCACTTAAATACATCATATGTCTGAATATTCACAGGTTTACACTGGCATGTGCAAACGTGTAATATGTGTGGCTTACTAAAGATAACTGAAGCTCACTGAAAACCCGCAAAAGCCAGAAACTACTAGAACAACAGTCACCAGGTATCTGAGATCTAGAGTTAGCTATGAAGCTGGCAAGCAGGATAAGAGCAGCCAGGGGACGTCTGAGAAACCCTGAAGCTCAGAAGGTCTCAGCATGGTAACAGACTTTCATATTTACTAGCTGACTGTCTGGGGGACACTGTAAGGGACAAAACCTCTTAGACATCAGGGGTGGAAAGAGGCCATAAACAAAATTGGAGAACAAAGTAAGGGATGTGAAGGCCAGGAAAGAGCTGTCATAAAAGAAAGATGAGAAACAGATGAAGACTCAGGAAACGTGAAGATGCCAAGAGTCATACGGCATGACGTGGCACCATCTGAGCATATATGAAAGGTGCGAATCATGGTACATCACTTATTAGGGCCAATAAAACTCTAAATTATATTATCATGCCAGCTATAATTCAAAATAATGCTCCTGCCCCAACTGTGAAATCTGCCTGTAATTTAACATTTTCTAATGCTTCTAATCTAGATTCAGATGGAAATGCAAATAATGTCATCTCTTTGGCATAACAAAGCTAGGACTCCCAACAACCTAGACAAGTTTTTGGGGGACAGTGCAACCCTTCTCAAAGCCTCATGGCCTCTTAGGTCCAGAAGGAGTTAACTTCACCCAGTGCCGCCTTTTGGGTAGAAACATACCTGGCTAATAGAAGACCTAGACCCAGATCAGGAGATCTTACCCCCAAGGATTAAGAGCTTTCACAGCTATCCCCCCAACTGCTCTTATGAACCCCACATTCTCTGCTGTGCTTACCTGTCTGAGCAACCAGGTGGGTCCACCCACTCCAGGCGGCCATGACCTTTTCACTCTGAAAACAATGTGTTTCTATTTTCTGGGGCACGGGAAGGAAAGCAGCTTGTGTAGCCAGTTGTCCATGCTTGTTACTGCCCCAAACATACAGATCTCCTGCATCTTCAACAGAAGGAAACAAAAGGTAAAGAAACATTAGCCCAAAGTGATTAAAATCACACCAGTCTGAAAAAGAAGCAACTGTTTTACATTCATGATACAATGTTTAATGGAGCTAAGCAGAACAAAAAATGTATTACATAATAAAAGATTTATAAAAATTCTATGTATAGAAAACAAGATCACAGTTTCTTAATAGTTTAAGAAATAAGAATTTGTGATTATTTTTCTTCATTTATTCATTCAACAAATATCCATTCAATACTCAACTTATATGAGACATTGTATTTTCTACAATTTTAAAATACATGCCATATTGCAGTTTCAATTTAAAATGTCTAATATTGTCACAAATGTGCAGATGTGTGGCTTTTGCAAAATGACTGGGGATCATGAGGGCTCTAGTTTCATCAGTGGACTAATTCACTGATGTATTTATAATTCGTGGTATTACTGGAAGGTGACGAAGACTCAGGAGGTGGGTCTCTAGCCCATGCTGTTTCACTCTCTTCACTCTTTCACTCTCCACTTCCTGGGTGCCATGAGGCCAGCAGTTTCCCTTCACTGTGCCCCTCCACCATGATGTTTCTGCCTTGGAACCAGTCAACCATGAACTGAAACCCTTGCAACTGCGCGCCAAAATAAATTACATCCTCCTTTAAATTGTCCACATCAGATATTTTGTCCCAGCAATAGAACACCGTTTGTTAGGAAAAAAATGTTTTAACATTTTAAAATAACAGGTTAAAAGATACACTATTTAAACAAACTTTTGAACATAAGATGATTTCACAGTATGCTCTGGTCAGCAGGAAATATAATGCTACCATATCACAGCTGTGTAGTAGCACTTTGGCTCCTTTCAACCTCACAATAAGCATATGATATAAGCAGAAATGACTGACATTGTGATTTAATAGGGAAAAAAAGCAAATTCAGAGTCAAGTGACTCTGGCTTCTATTTCTGGATCTGCTAACTAGCTATTGACCTTGGACAAATCACTTCCTCTCTAAGCTTCAGTTTCTCCAGCTGAATACTGGGAGGGAGGGTGTTTGGTCTAGAGAAGCAGACAATAGGACTGATGACTCTGGTAACAAGAGCAATTGGTGGGAGCCATGGCACACAACCATCTAAAAACCATTCAAGGCCAAGCAGGTTTTTTTAGATGACAACCAAACAACGTGAAGCCATAGCTATAATTTAGCTTGTGTAGCATCATTTTGTAACATTCATTAACCTTTCAAATTCTAAGATTCTAAAAATTTTGCTATACTAACCAGAATAGGAGTCACTAGCCACATGTGCCTACTGAACAGCTAAATGACTAGCCCAAAATGACATGGGTTATAAGTGAAAAATATACAATGGATTGCAAAGACAGTGCAGGAAAAAAGTGTGCCTCATAGATGATTATATGCCGAAATAATATTTTAGATATACTGAGTCAAGTAAATACATAATTAAAATAATTTCACCTGTTTCTTTTTAGTTTTTGAATTGTGGCCTGTATTTTATTTCCATCAGATGACACTGTTCTAAAAGGTAAGTGCATTAAGGCTGGAAGACGAGACTTTTCAAGATCACATGGCTAAAAAAGGACACATGGCTAATAGGAGGACCAGAAGCCACGTCTTTCACTTCTACTGCCTTTTGTGACCTTAACATAAAACTTTACAGACTGTATTGCTTGATGTAGGGCAATCTGCATATTCTCAAAAGCTGATCAAAAGCCAAATCAGCAACAGTAAAGGTCATTACAACAGGGTTCAGAAGTCCCAGGTTCAAATCCCTTCTGCTGCTCACTGTTTGACACCGGTCACATCGCTGCACATTGCTCTGCCTCAACTCTAAAATGAGCATTTATATCAATGAAGCCTCTCGCCACCCAGACAATCCTGCTGCACTGACATCCCGCAACCCCATGAAACACTGGTGTGTTTCATTCTCAGGGAAAAGATAACCTTCCTGGAGTTTATCAAGGTATGTGAAATATAAGGATCCCTTCCAGTGGGGCAAAGAAGCTCCTCTCAGCAAAATATCAGTTCATGACATAGAATGAAGAGCTACAAAGATGCTCTGAGGAAGAAGCCTGCACATAGATCTTTGTGTGTCTAAACCATCATTCTGAAAGACAAACTGCCTTCCACATGAGGGTTTTTACACTGTTGCATCAGCAGGTAAAATTAAATTCTGTTGCAATGCCAAACAGTTGCATAATCTACAAGAACTCTAGAGAAAAGGTATAAAGAGCACTGAGAAAAATCCAATGTGTTAATAGCTTGAACTAAACAAAAAAAGAGAGCTATTAATCTTGACAATTTTTAATTCACTTTTGAAATATCAAAAATCAATTCCCATTATGAGTATATTAACAATGACTACATAAACACTTTAAAATGGTGAGTTTTATAAATTACATCTCAATGAAAATTCTGAAATCTATGTATTAAAAAAGCCATAATAAGAGTTGCCAAATATGAAGCATAAATTTACCAACAACAAGATTTTTTTAAGAAACTGGTATTAGTGGGCAATTAGGCAATTTCAAAGTTTAAATAATGTCAGCCACTTCAAATGAATTAAAACAAAGGAGAAAACCTTCGCCTTCCCTCACTCCTAGAAAAGAATGCCTTCAGTGCCTGTGGACAAACAAGTGACTGTCACTCTCAAGTCTCCAGTGCTTCCTCTGTCAAAGGAGAGGAGGGACTAGGTGCCCAGTGCAATCACTTATAGCTGGCCTCCATCTCTACACAACACTTTTAACAAACACCTAATGGCACTCATGTGAGACACAGGCTAAAAGTAGGTGTTCCTTTTGTTAGCTGGTTGTTTTAAACTCATTAAACAACAAATTATCTGTAGCTCATATTTGTAAAGCATTTAAACTTTCACACTGGCTCTGGTGCTCTGGAAACAAAAGCATCTCAGTTGGACTGCACTGCAATTTTGACACCAAAGAAAGCACACTGCAATTAATTTACTTATGTTACATATACAGCTGAATTTCCTCATAAAACTCTGAAAATACTAAGTATAAAAGCCCCTCCTCTTTGCTTAAAAAATGGAATACATTCAGCTCTGTGTAAGAGATCTTACCAAAATAAATCTCTGGGCAGTACAGACTCCAGGCTACCCCTACCAACAGAGATCAGTACAATCCAGGTCAAAAGAAAATGTTACACTGCCTCTGAAGGAAAAGTCACTAGAAAGTTTACACTGCATTAGGTGGGCATGTCAATGGATAGGTGAGTGAAGGCCAGCCAGGAAACAGAAAAGAAAACCAAATTAGACAGGAAAACACATGGACTTAAGAAACAGAATAGAGAGACGAATTAGACAAATTTTAAAAAATATAAAACAGATTAGAGAAATACAGAAAGGCCCAGATATATACAGAAATAGACAAAATAGAAATGTGAAAAACAGAGAAATATATGGGTAAGTAAAGTAGATAAAAGAATTAGAAAGATATAGATGTGAGGCTGAGGCAGGAGGATCACTATGAGTTTGAGGCCAGTGTGGGCCATAAAGTGAGTTCAAGGCCAGCCTGACCTGCATTGCAAAACTGTCTCAAAAAGACAGAAAGAAAGAAAAACGAAAAGAGAAGGAAAAAAATAAATTTGATTGAGATTAAGTGACTAAAGGTACAGAAAGGTGAACTTAGTTATATTAGACACTGAGAGGGATTAGTTGGATAAAACAGCAATGTTATATAGTCATGCACCACATTACACTTCAGCTAACATACAGCCAAGGTATATGGCAGCCTACAGCATCTAGGTTTATGCAGATATAGTCCAAGGCAGTGAAACCATGATAAAAACTGCCTGAGGATGCATTTCTCAGAACATAATCCCACTGTTAAGCAGCATGTAACTCAGAGGGATAGCTTACAAAGGTAAATAAACTTACTGTTGATCATATGATCTGACCATCATAACTATCTTAAAAAGAAGATATTCTTGTCCTTCTTAAACTGAGAGGAAAAGGAAGTAAGCCTATGTTTGATATGAGTCCCTTACATGCATCCTCATATTTAATTCTCATAACTAACCACAATGCATCTTACAGAGAAGGAGAAAGCCTCAGAAAGGTAATTTGCCTGAAGTCATATCAGCAATGGCATCAGAATTCGGGTCTTCAAAGTCCTTCTCTCTGTGCGGACTGTGAAAGAGCTGGTTCCCACCTGCTGCACTGTGAAAGAGCTGGCACCTACCTGTTAAGGAAGCCGAGTGGGCTGAGCCAGCAAGAACACATATTGCTTTAGAATTCTCTAGGCCTACAAAAAAAAAAAAGAAAAGTTTTCTGAATTACACTTATAAGAGAACAAAGTGGGCAAAGGGAGGACTCTCAGCCAGTACCCCTTGGGCATGGAGAGGGTAGGCACACTGGAGAAGACGGCTGGCATAGTGGGGAACAATAACACACTAGAGGTGTGAACAGATACGTAAACATACCATCAGAGAGAAGAAAGTACCAGTATGAAAAGAGGAAAGCTACAAACAACCAAGTGCTATTGGAACTGTAATTGGGTCCCCAGAAAATCCGTATAAATTCATGACTTCTGGTAGAAATAGATATGTGTTCATGTGTAAAAATACATATTTGACTGTGTTTCTGTCTGCCAAGTGAGCCTAGAGCAATGACAAGTCCTACATTCAGTTGCTACTGTGTGCAGGACTTAAATACAAACTCAGGCCCTTCAGAGCACACAGGCAGAATTAAGACCAGTATTGGCCTCCCATCTCCAAGTCCACGCTTTTCCCCTCTTCACAACACTACCCTCATGTCAAACTCCCAAACAAGCCTGCTAGAAGTTGTGATTACCTGTGGCAACATGTGGTTTCGCAAGGTAAATGCAAATTTATTCTGTGCCTCTTTTCTGACATTACAGTTTCATTAACTAGTTCCTTCATAAAAGACATCTCGCTTCTTCAACACTGTACAATGATAACGAGACAGAGCAGGTATTTCCAGCTACATTCACCCAGAGCAGAGTCCTGAGCCACTACTGGGCAGGTGAGGAGGGGACAGTCAGGCATCCAAGTCCAGAGCCTGTGGCTATGAGGTTAGGATAGGAGAATGCAAAGTGAAAGACTCTGAGGACAGGGACTTGATGATCCATTCCAGGTGTCCAACTCTGAACCAAAGCTGTTACTTCAAGCAGATCCCAAACAGGTTGTTTAAATCAAGTCAACTAAAAAAAATTTTTTGTTTTGTTTTACTTCCTCTAGTTATTGGTCCTATACTACAAGGAAGAATGACATACAGTTTCTGCCTTAAAAAGCTCATCTTTGGTGTGAAACCTTATTAGCAATTCATACTCATGGAATGCTTTGTGCTTTCAGAGCATGTGAAGCAAACTCAGTGGAGGCTAGCAGAGCGTTCACTAAGAGAGCTGCCTCTGAGCGAGCCCTTAGAAAACTCCTGGGATTTTCCCAGAGAGAGCAGGAAGGAAGGCACTTCGGAAGAACAGAGGCATGGAACAGCAGGGGGTGCTGAGGGAGCAGTGAACACACGGAAGAAGAAGAAAACTGGTTTAGGAAATGTGAATTTATGAGTGTTTTCAAGGGGAGGTGAAATGACAGCCTCGACACCTCCTGGTCCTTTTCTGAGTTCCCTGCCCAACTCAATCGGAGCTTCAGGAAGCCAACTCCAGCTCCAGCTGAAGAAGAGACTCCAGAACTCTGAAAAACCAGAATGTCCCCAATACCCATATACATGCCCCCTACTACAGCATTCCCTTCCCAACTCTGGGTCATAAAGTAACAGAGTGAGAGAAGAAAAAACACAAGATACAGACACAGTACTGTACACAAGGACAGAAGGGTCACAAAGGGACTGGAAGAGAGAGGGGATGGGGGGTAGGAGAGAGAGGAAAGAAGGGAGAGAAGAGAGACAGAAGGGAGAGAGAAAGGAGAGAGAAGGGGAGGGGAGAGGGAGAGAGATGAAGGAGGAGGAGGAAAACATCCGCACAGACCAACTGAGCAACAAAATGTCAATCAACAGAACACTTATTACCTACTCTTTGTGTTTTCATCAGAGATTTCCCTGCCAGAACACTTCTGGCCCTCTCTCTATACCCTCATTCCTGCTCCTGCTTTGAGACTGGAACTGGGCATGGGAGGCACAGCCACGGTCCTCCTGGACTCTCCTTTTGTGGTGGGCCTGATCAGACAGGCTGCAATCCCATGTCTGCTTGGCCATGCAGCAAGCCGACCAGGCCTAACTGTGCAGTTGCCTGATGAAGAAGTTCAATCTAGGGTTCAGGATTTATAGCCACTATTACTGCACATTGTTTCTAAGACCTAAGTCCTACCTTCCAAGTTGTTTTACAGAGCTACCATTTTCATCTCTGCCCACCTGACTTGTATTACTCAGTAGGTCCCAAACGGACTGCAAAGGGGGTTACTTTTACTAGCGCCACAAAAGTCCCAACAACAGAAACCACTGGACAGAGAAATTAAGAAAGAGCAAAAGTAAAAACACATTTAGTCACTTTGTCCACGTCTCTACTTCCTCATGAAGAATAAATACCAATGGAACATGGCGGACAGATAACAGCAGCCACAGAGGCTCTCTGAGATTGCCAGCTTAGAATCCAGGAATGATTCGGTGTGAGGAGTCCTAAGCAAGGGGAGATATACCATGCTGACCCAAGAACGAATTAAGCTGAGAGAAACCAACTGAAAATGCAATACCGATGCTATAACAGAAACAGATAAAATTTCAGCGTGGAAGCTGGAACCCACACCTCCGGAAGCCACAATTTGAATTTCCTGTTGCTGCTGCTGCATCTGAATCGGCACAGCAGGGAGAGAGACACGTGAAATCTCTGAGAGTGGGAATCAGCCAACCAAACAGAGTTGAGAGTGGGACTGGCAGGGAGCCCTGCATCGACCTGCAGTGAGTGAGAGAAATGGGGACCCTTTCATAGACTAGGAGGCTCCAACAGAGGACATTCTGGGACCGGGCAGACTAGCCAGAACATGATGCTGCAGTGACTTTAATCACATATTCCCCTCTCAAGCGGGATTGGTGGGGAGCGCTTGGCCTGGGTGACGCCACTGACTAAGATCCAGTAGGCTAGCCCAAACCAGGTCCCAGTGCCTGGAGGTGCACCCTAGCAGTGAAGCCTTCAGTAGGCTGACCTGGAGGGGCAGGCCCACTATAGACTGCCCAGGCCTGTGTCTCCCTAGTACACTGCAGTGAGCAGGAATTCAAACAAACTGTAACAGACAAAGAGGAAAAAAAACTGGGCCTCCTATATACGCTTATATGGAACAAAAAGTATGGGAAGAGGGAGCAATAAGAAAGGGTCCTCAGTCCCCAATCCTGAGAACACTGATCCAGGAAAGGTAAATGCAAAGGAGAATGAGAAAAGAAAATATGCAATATCAGACACGGCACCTATAGACATAAAGCGGTATCTCTGGAGCCTCATAGATGAGTTCAAAAATGAAGTGTTTAATGAAATAAAGCAAAATATAAGTAGAATAGTTAGAGAAATGCTAAGCACCGCCCAAGAAAAAACAGAGGGTGGAATGAAAGAACAGGAAAAAAGGGGAGAATTGTTTGATGGAGAAAATAGAGAAAACATAGAATATGTGAAGCAGGTTCAAAGAGATTACCAGGAAACTAAAAACTCTATTGAAAGCTGGTATAACAGCTTGAAAGAAACTAAGGATAGATTATCTGAACTGGAGGACAGATTTGTAAGGTGGGAGCATGAAATGAAAAGCTTCTTAAAATAACAAGAAAACAAACAGCAATAATACAAAGGCTAGAAGATGATAAGAGGATCTATAACTTAAGAATTAAGAACATAAAAGAAGAAGTAGGGACATAAACAAATGAACTACAAAAGCTACTTACAGAAATAATCCAGGAGAATTTCCCTAATTTAGCAAAAGGTAAAGATACTCAGATGTATGAGGCATACAGAACCCCAGCCACCTACAACCCAAACAGAGCTACACCCAGGCATATAAATAATCAAAATTCCAGAAATACAATATAAGAACAGAATATTAAAAGCCATCAGAGACATGAAACAGATCACTTACAAGGGAACACCCATCAGAATTACAGCAGACTTCTCGGCACAAACCATTAAATCACGAAGAGCATGGGGGGAAATAATTCAAGCTTTGAAAGATTAATAACCTCCAGCCAAGATTGATATATCTTGCACAACTGTCTGTAGAAATTGATGGAAAAACAAGGTGCTTCCAGGATAAAGAGGAACTAGGGGAATTTGCAACCACCAATTTGACTCTACAGAGAATACTGCAGGATATTCTAAAAAAGAAAAATACCAAGATTCCAGAAACAGTGGCAGAGAGGCCACATGGAGCAGAAAGCAAAATGAAGAAGACAAACTGACAACTAATGACAGAAAAAGAGCTCAACAGAAATGAGGCAGAGAAGGTTGGATGGTAGGAACAGCTATTTTGGAGAAAACAAGACATCATAATAGGTAGTGCTGATTTAATATCATCTTGTTTTGAAGTCCCATCAAGCTTTTGTTCTTCTGTCTCCATCAGTCTTAACATGTTTTATCTTATTGGATTTTATTATATGTGATAATACAAACAAAAACTTTAATAGACAAGGAGATTATACAGAAACCATTGTTCATTTTCTGATAGTTGGTTCTAAATACCCTGTAATACTGTCATTCTCTTGAATGGTTTTACATTGTCTTAATATGTTTGATGCTACAGTATATGAAGTTATACTCAAAGATTTCAAAGGAAAGAGACACTATGCTAACTACTTTCATGTCGGGATTATCTTGTGATGAAACACTACTTTGCTTAAATGGTTATGTTTTGACCTGCGCTGTTTTGTTGTTATGCCCTCTTTTATCTCAATCTCCTTTTTCTTATTATTTACTTTTTCATTCTTATCCTTTTAATTAAGGGAAAAATAAATTAAAAACAGCAGGATATAGTAACCCACTTTGATTTCCTATTAACTTGATGTGAAACCCTGTATTGCTCTCACCATCTTGTTTTGAGTGATGTTCCTCTATTCTGTTTTGCTTGATAGTACCAAGTTCGAAAGTATAGGCAACAACTATGAAGACAATAAGATTCATTATGACGCCCATTCTGGTTGACTATTATCTTCTTTTGAAGTCCTCTAATGTCTCCAATATTTTGGTTTTATTGGTTTTGTACTTTACTGTTTTGTTCAATTCTATTATAACTAATGACATAGGCAATTCTTTTTAAGATAGCAAGAGGCATTATGGTAATCATTGTTGATCACCTTGTATTTTGTTTTTACATTATGTATTATGTCCATCCTTTTGTTTTGACTGACTCTGTCCTCTTATGTCACATTTGGTTTTACTCTCTTCAAAAAAAAGTAATAAGAACTGTGGGAATAATAAAACCCAAAAAGTGTAATTGTCATTGTACAAAAGAGAGGAAAACAAAGTGCTCTAAAGTACATAACTGCATGTATATTTAAGTGTATAAGATAGATAACCATATTACTGAGTTTTGTTGGATCATTGAACAGAACTGTTCACAGTCTCACTGTTTGAACATCCACTCTATATGCTTTAATTTTGTAAGTTGAACAACTATTTCTAAGATGACAATATGTAATCTATTAACTAGTGATTTCCTACTGTTTATTTTTTCTGAAATTCTGTATAACTTGTACCCTTTTTCTGTGTTTTTTTTCTTTTTTCTCTTTAAATAAAATTTTAAAAAAAAAGAATAAATACCAAAAAAAAGAAAGAATAAATATAAAACAGAAACAATGGTCTCACCTGTAACTTTGCTTGGTTCCTTTGCTGTCAAAAACAACGGGAGAGTCTGCTCAGGGCACAACCGTCGTCCAGATGATGCCAAACCAGTCCCCCACTGGAACACAATGCCACTCACTTCCCAACAAAGCAGAAGAGAAACAGAGAAAATGTACATCAGAGTAAAACCAGATTGTTATGCCAAGCATAGTGGCCCACACCTGTAATCCCAGTACTCAAGAAGCTGAGGCAAGAAGATCACTAGGAGTTCAAGGCCAGCCTGCTCTACATAGTAAGTTCAAGGTCAGTCTAAACTACATAATGAGACCTGTCTCAAAAAAAAAACAAAACAAAACAAAAAAAAAAAAAAAGAAACACAACTAGATTGCTCTTTGAATAACAAGCTCAGATAATACCAAGCACTGGTGAGCTATGGAAAATTCCCTCTTCATTCTCAGTTAACATGAATATTATGGAAAAGTTTGATAGCTTCAATGGGTCTCATGACTGGTTGCAAGGCTTATCATGAGGCTAATCACAAATTCAGTCATCAGGATAATCTAAGATCATCAAAGATAATTCCAATAAAACTTTCTTCAAAAATGTCTTGGATATTCCCTCCAGAGTCACATCATGGCAATGTTCATCATTACCCTGAATGGACAACTCCAGACTCCAAACCAAATAAAAAAGGATTGTGAAGGCCACCAAGTACATTTTGCTCACTTACTAGGTGAGAAAACTGAGGCCCTACAGAGAGGATGTAATTTGTGCATGGTAATAACAGAGCAAGTGCTAGGATTCAGCATTCCTAACACCTAAGATAATGTCCTTTCCACTAAACCAGGCTCAATTCAAATATTCTCAATTGCCAAATAAATATGTATTTATGATTACAAGATAGCTTAACAGTCACAATTTCAGGGAGATGGTCTTTTATTTCCATGCTCACTGAATCTCATGAACTGAATTTCATATAAATGCAAAGATAAAATTCTATGTGTATGATCCACTGTCAGATATATTCAATCTGGATCCCCAATACAATGTCCAGGTCTGCTCCTCTGGAAACATTCTATAATCAGTGGTCTTTTAGGCTGCAAACAGATAAGCCTGCTTTACAAAAATCAAGCTATGGAGACTGAGCACAATGTGTGAGCAAAGTACAGGGTAGCACTGAAACAAAACTTACAATTACCTCAACAAACAAGCTGCAAGACAAAAAGAGTATAAAAAATCTATAGATTAAGAGAAACCTTAGATACCTGATAAGAGATTATTGTCCAGAATACATGAAGAACTCCTAAAATTTTAAAAATTAATTTAAAATGGACAAACAACTTAAATATACATTTCTCTAAGATACATACTATAGAAATGATCCCTAAACGTATAGCCTTTAAGAAGATATATAAATGACCAATAAACACACAAAAAGATGCTCAGCGTCACCAATTATTAGGGAAATCCAAGTCAAAATTACAATGAGATACCAACTTACACTCATTTGCATCCTACAGCAAACAAACAAAACAAAAACTCAGAAAATACCAAGCACGGATTAGCTTGTGGAACAATTAAAATTCTTGTGTGCTGTTTGCAAGTATAAAATGATACAACTGCTACAGAAAACAAAATGGCAGCTTCTAAAAATTTAAAAATAGAACTACCATATGATGTAGCAACTGTACTCCTGGATATATATCCAAAAGAAGTAAAAGTAGGATCTAGAAGAGTCCTTTGCTCATACTAGCATTATTCTCTATAGCTAAAACAAAGAAGTAACCCAAGTATTTAACAACAGGTGAGTGGAGAAGCAAAATGTGGTACAAGTATACATGCAGTGCACACACACACACACACACACACACACACACAGAGGAATACTATCAGCCTGCAAAAGTACAGAAGCTCTTACACTATACTCCATGATGAACCAGAAGGATAGTATAAGTGCAATAAGCCAGTCACCAAAAAAGACAAATACTGTATGAGTCCATCTGTATGACCTACTTAGAGTAGTCAACACTGTAGAGACACAAAGTAGTATGCTAGTGGAGAGAGGGAGGAAAGTTACTGGGTACAGAAATTTAATTTTTCAAGATGAAAACAGTTCAGGAGATGGACAGCGATAATGATTTTACAACAATCTAAATGTACTTCATACTACTGAACTGTACATTTACTTATGGTTAAGATGGAAAATTTTGTGATAAAAAGCAATAAAAAGCAAAAAAAATTTTCAGAGAGACTCAAACATCTATTAATCCACTATGATATGCAGGCCTAATTCAGATCCTGACTCAAAAGACATGTAAGTATCTATTGGACAATTAATGATATTATAGAATTACTGTTAATTTTTTTAGGTCTGATGATGGTATTACAGCAATATTTTCAAAAAGAATACTTATCTTTTAGAGATACATATAGAAATATTTACAGATCAAATGAAGGAGAACAGGACTTACAACTAAGTTAACCAAACACATAAAGCAAACTGAGCTACTTCGTAACTGGACAGAAATGAATACCTAAGACCAGCAAGAAAATTCAGTATTTTGCAAACCATATATCTGACAAGAGGTCAATTTTTTTCTGTGCTGGGGATCAAACCTAGGAGACCCTACCACTGAGGCACAGCCCCAAAGATCCATTCACTCATTCATTAGTTTGTTCTTTTTTTTTTTTTTTTTTTTGAAGCTCAGTTTCAGTTTCACTAAGTTGTCCAAGTAGGATTTAAACTTGTAATTCTCCTGCCTCAGCCTCCCCTAATGCTGAAATTACAGGAAAGAGCCACCACATCCACCTATAAGGGGTTAATTTCTAAAATATATAAGGAACTCCTACAACTCAGTAACAAAAATTTTAAAGTGGACAGAGACTTGAATAAACATGTCCCCCAGAGAAAACATACAAGTGGTCAACATGTATATGAAAAGATGATTGGCCAGGGATTTAGCTCAGCGGCATAAGCACCTGCCTGGCAAGCGTGAGGTCGTGAGTTCAATCCCCAGCACACAAACACAAAAAAAGATGATCAAAATCATTAGCAGGAAAATACGAATCAAAACTACAATGAGAATTCACATCTCTTAGAGTAATTTTTTTTTAACTATGTCGTGAGGATGTGAAGTAACTGGCATTCTTGTACACTGTTCCTGGGAACGTAAAATGGGGCTGCAACTGTAGAAAGCAGTACAGAGGTTCCTCAAAAAATTAAAAATAGAATTACCACATGATCCAGCAATCCCATTTCTGTCTATACATCCAAAAGCCCTAAAACCTGGTCTTGAGGAGATACCTGCACTCCACTCCCATGTGGACTGCAGCACTGCTCACAGAGGCCAAACAGAAATAACTCGTGTCTCTCCAAAGACAAGAAATGAAAATGTAGCATATACATTTAAGAAAGTATTATTCAGCCTTTAGAAAGGAGAAAATCCTGCCATTTGTAACAATAATGAACAAATCTTGATGATATTTTTCTAGGCAAAATAAACCAGACACAGAAAAAATACTGCATGACACCACTTACATTGGGTACCTGTGATAGTTAAACTCATAGACGCAGAGCATACAGTAGTGGTGGTCAGGGCAGAGGGGAATGGGGAGCTGTTCAATGGGTATAAGGTATCAGCTATGCTAGGTAAGTAAATCCTAGAGATTTGCTATATAACAGTGACTATAGTTAGCACTCAAGTACAGCACTGTGCATCTCAACATTTAAGAGGGTAGATCTCGGGGCTGGGGATTTAGGTCAGTGGCATAAGCGCCTGCCTTGCAAGCAGGCAGTCGTGAGTTCGATCCCTGGTACGATAAAAACGAAAAAGACAAAAAGAGGGTAGATCTTATGTTATGTGCTCTTGACACAAAACACACACACACACACACACAGTCCAAAGAGACCTAAAGGAGCTTTGGAAGATGCTGGACATGTCCATTACCATGATGGTGGTGATGATGGCATCACAGATATTTACCAAATCTATCAAATTATACAATTAAATACATGCAGCTATGTCAACTTTATCTTAGTAAATCTGTTTTTAACAAATGAGACTAGTAAGTATAGAAAGTTAGTAGACAAGGGGGTTAGGGTTAAGGTTAGAGTTAGGGAAAGAAAAGCATTATATGCAATTTTCTTGCCTTACTGATTTCTAAAATGGGACCTTGCTTATATAAAAAATATAATCACTACTATATAACTACACAATCATACTACTGGACATCCATCTTGGAGAAATGAAAACTATGTTCATATAAAAACTTGCCTACAAATGTTTGCAGCAGCCTTTTGTATGTGTAGTAATGGGGCCTGAATCCTGGGAGTTCTACGTTACATCCCCAGCCCTCTTTTAGTGGGGGAGACAAGGTCTTAGAAGCTGTCTAGGCTGGCCTTCAAATTCAGATCATTGCGCCCTCAGCTTCTCAAGTAGCTGGGATTACAGGGGTACACCACCACTCCAGCCCCATAGCTTTCTTCTTGAGAGCCCCAAACTGGGAACAATCCAGATGTTCTTCAGCGGGTGACTGGTCAAACTGTGGCTATAGTGGACTGAACTGTATCCCTCCAATATTCAAATGTAGAAGCCCTAATCCCCAAGGTAACTGTATGTGGAAACAGGACTAACAAGGAGGTAATAAAGGTTAAATGGTGTCATATGGTAGAGCCTTAATCTGGCAGGACTTGTGTCCTTACAGGAAGAGGAAGACACCAGAGGTCTCTCACTCCACAGGAGTACAGATGAAAGGCTACATAAGGACAGAAGAAGCCAAGAAAAAGGACTCACCAGAAACCAGTCCTACCACTCAAGATCAGTGAGTGAATTAATTTCTGCTTAAGCCTCAAGATCAGTGAGTAAATTAATTTCTGTTGTTTCAGCCATCTAGTCTGTGATAATTTGTTGTGGCAGCCCTTCTGAAGTGACACAGTGATACAGTCATATCACGCAATACCATTCAGCAAAGACAGGAACAAATTATAGGTATGTAAAACTTGGATGAATAAGGGGTAGGATTGAGCTCAGCGGCACAACACCTGTCTAGCAAGCGTGAGGTCCAGAGTTCAATTCCAGGTACAAAGAAAGACAGACAGAAAGAAAGAAGGAAAAGTCAGAGTGAAGATCCTATCCACAGGCTTTGGGGAGTGGCTCTAGATAAAGGAAGACAGGAGCCAACCTTGAGGTACAGGAGATGGCTAGATATGGGAGCAAGGAAAATGGGTAGCTGACTGTTCACCCCAGGTTCTCCTGATACTCACAGGAAACTTGGATGAATCTCCAGGGAATTACACTGACCACACACACAAAAAAAAAAAAGCCCCAAAAGGTTACACCTGGTACAGAAAACACGCTTACCTAAAGCTTTAAATTGATAATCATTAATATTTACTAGGAAGGCAGTTCGGTCTACTGCAAAGAAGGTGGACACTGATATTCTGACCATCCCAGACTCTGATCCCACCTCTTTCACCCCAAGTGTAACACACTTTCACCCCAAGTGCTTTAGCCTCACTGAACCTGTTTCTTCACATATAATAATTTAACTCATATCACTTCCTCCTTATGAGAATTAAATGAATCAAATCAAGCAATCTAGTACCATGCCCAGAACAAAGAGCTACAAACCTTCATTTCCTCCCTCCTTTCTGCTAAAGGCTTTCCCACATGACAAATCAGAACTGTAACATAAGGACCTTTTAAACACCCCCTGAGAAATTTTTCTTCTAAAGCTCAGCTCCTCTTTATTATATGCCTATGTAAGAAATAAAAGCAAAATGATCACCTGTAGCAGCTAATGCATGCCTCAGTCCAGCAGCAACACAAACAACCTTCTCTCTCAGAAGCTGTCAAAAAAAAAAAGATTTAGATCTCAGTATCATCCATCTAGAAAATTTCATGTAGTTTACATCCAATATGATGCAGCATGGGCCTCACGATGTGCCTGACTGTTTAACAGTTCCCTGCTGAGGAGCAGGCTTCTACATGTCTACAATCCCACATACTGAGGAGACTGAAGCAAGAGGATCCTAAGTTCAAGCCTTGCCTCAGCAACTTAGTGAGCCCATGTCTCAAAATTAAAAAATAGAAAAAGCTGGGAATGTAGTTCAGTACTGCCTCAGTTCAAACTCAGTACTAAAAAACATAGTAATTATAAATGCATAAAGCCCTGTCCCAGACATTTCTATCCATAAATACATTCTAGAAGTAAAAATTCCTGAAGGAAAAAAAAGACTTTCAAAAATACCACCTCACAGTGCCCCTCATGGCTTCAAGGGATCTTGAAGGTCATTCAGTGTAGAGTTACTAATGTTTTCTACTAAGAGCCATATAGTAAATATGTCAAGACTGAACAGGCTGCGTGGCTCCTGTTACACAACTCGGCTCTGATACTGTAGTACAGAAACCACTGTAGAATATACAAAAATGAGTAAGTATGGCTGTGTTCCAATAAAACTTTACTCACTGAAAGCTCTAGTTTTCCCAATCCCGATCTAGTCCAATCCCGCTCCAATGCCAGACCTTTCCCACCAACACTACCAAGGTCACCCTGCCCCTGCCCACACCACCCTCCAGGGACACAGGCTCGCCACCTCCCCAGGTGCCTGCTCCACCTCTGAACAATCCCATTTATCTCTTTAGGTAGAGCCATACCCATCTGCCTGCAGCTTCTGACAACACTTTCCAAATATTTGAAGACAGTTGTCATGTCCTCTTTAAGACATCTTGTGGTGGTTTTAAAAATAGGTCCTTGAATTCCTTGATACTACTCCCTTGAGATGTGCAGCTTAGCTCCCCTCCTCTCCTCTGTGTGGGTTGGACTTAGTGACATACTTTTAATGAAAAGAACAAGGACACAAGCAAAGAGTGACTCAGAGATGAAGTGATAAAATGTACTGAGCTCCCTGGTTGGCGTCTCTCTGCCTTAAATCACTCCTGGGGGAAGCCAGAGCCATGTGTGAATGCCTCCCCCCGCCACTAGAGAGCCCCACGTGGCAAGGAATTGAGGCCTCCTGAAAAGGGCCATGTGAGAGAACCTGGAAATGGGTCCCAGCCCAGCTGTGCCCTCAAACTCACACACAGACCCAGTAGCAATCTCAGGAAAGACCAGTTCAGCTACTTCTTGATTCCTGCCCCACAGAAACAATGTTTGTTGTCTACTGCTGCTGTATTTAGAGGTGATTTGTTATGAAGCAACAAATAACTAAAGCAGATCCCTTCTTTAGGCTAAATATTCCCAGTTCAATCACACACTCCTAAGTTACAAATTCTCCTTCCCTCTTAGTTTTCCTCCTCTCAAGATGCTGTTCTCTCTCTCTCTCTCCTCTCCTTCTCCCTCCCTCCCTTCTCCTTCCTTTTCCTCTCCTCCCCTTCCCTTTCCTCCCCTTCTCTTTCTCTCTTTCTCTTCTCTTCTCTTCTTCTTCCTCTCTCTCTCTCTCTCTCTCTCTCTCTCTCTCTCTGTCCTTTAAAAGAACTACATATGCATCAGTCACTGCCCCCATTGTCCATTGGGCTTTGCCACATTTGCTTATTCACAAGTCCACAGTGTCTTTCTAAGACCCCCAAGAGAAAAGCCTGAGTCTTTTTTACTTTTATGCCCAGAACGTAGCACCAGATCTACAGCACAACACAACATTCCAGATGGGGTCTGACCAGCACAAAGAACAGAGCTCAGCCTTCTTCCTTCTGATGCTGTGCCGGTGGAATCCTCAGTCACAGTGCATTTTGACAAGATCTTGCTATTTGATCTTGAACATCACTGTCTTTTAAACATATTTTCTGACCTTCCTTTCTTCCATCCTTCCTTCTTCTTAAAACTTAAAGGCTTGTCACATGGGCTCCATGTCTTTTAATGTCATTCATTTCTATCTTTTCCTCTCCGTATCCATTGCCATTGCTTTACTTTGGACCGGAACCATCTCCTGGCCAGATTGTTAGCAAGTTTCCTAAGTAATATTTCTTCAAGTCGCCCTCCACACTGTCCTATCTGGCCCCTCCCTAACATGCTCCTCTTAACATCTGTCACCCTGACTGATCCCTTCCCCACAAACCCCAGCTGGGCACTCTCACCTCTTCCTTATGTTTCAACTGTATCACACTGCTTATAGTATCTCAAACCCGTTTTATGTTTCTATACTTCTGAAAGCAAAGGCTTCTTTGTGAGCAAAATTCTATGCACTATTTCTTCTGCCTTTTCTCTTCTTACAACTACTCTACACATCTTCTCCTTCCAAGCCAGGCAAACTTCTACTCAACTTTTAAGACTTGCTTTAGGTGCCAACTCAGCCTTCCCATGGGTAAGAGTTCATTCTTCCCTCTTTTGGGCTACACATGCATCTATCATGGTTCTAACATGACAATACACTCAAGTATTTATCAATCATGTACTACTAAACTTTAAAACTCCCAAATGGAATATAGGTTTTCTTCACCCGTGTCCCTATGTCACCTGTGTCTTATTATATGAATAATTAAGCTAAATTAAGTATAACTTATATGCAGGTTCTTACAAGGCCATCTAGTTGCAGTTATTACTATTGTGATCACCTACAAACATGGTTCCCATTGTTACTAATTTTAGAATTGTAAAATGTCACTAATGTCCTAGTAAGACGTATCACCTTTATTGTTTTAGCTAACAAAGCTTTATCATGTGTATGAGGACTAATAGAGGTTTTTCCGCTCATAATATCAATACCTCCAAAACTAACTTTTCCCAACCCAAATTCCACACCCCATGGTTTTTTAGGAACCTAGCCACCTGCTATTATGGGTGAGGATAACTATGACAGCCTGGAAACACTTTAACAGGACATGGGCAAGTCAAATATTAGATGTCCTCACCTCAATGGCCTGGGGAACCACACATCTTCGAGGCCCTGGAGGAACACCTAACTGGCCGAAGGAGTTGGATCCACATGATAAAACTTGACCATTTTCTGCAAAATACACATAAACTACAAATCTAAGAAATAAGACATCTGTGGCTAATGGGTAAATGCAGAAGGATAAGAGGCTCAAAGGGGATGACAGGAGATAATGAGATCGTGCACTTCGGTGTACTTAGCCTGTATTCCCTGCTTCATTTCTCTAGGAATGAAAGCAGTGGGCACTGGGCCAAGTATTCTATATCAATTATTACACTATACCATTAATGGCAAATTATCTGTATAGAACACTTAGCCCAGTGCTGAGTCCTAGAATGGAAAGTTACCTTTTCCCCATTTTTCATGTTTGCATGTGGCAGAATTCCTTTTATGGCAACACTCCAGATCTTTCTCCCTCCCCTTCCCCATACTCACCGCTTTCTAGGGAGCAAGGAGTCCTGCAACCAAAGGATGAGTTTGGGAGAGAGAACAGAACAACCTCCTCTCAAGTATTCTGGGCTGATACACAGTAAAGGTCTCCCTATGGAGAAGTTCTCTAGAGTTCGGAGGGAAACTCTAGACCAAAGAAATTTTAGAAGCATTTGGTCTCATAATTAACTCTGTCCTCCAATTTAGCTTTTATCAGCAAAAAGCTGATAATCTGATTCACAGCTCTGATGCTCTGTATTTTTCTCACAATCAGTTCCAAGTGTAGAAAGGAAATAGTATTATCTACTGAGTCCCTATAATCCCAACATGTGCCTATAGCAAGTACTTCATAAAGGACAGCCATCATTGAAATTCTACTTATGTCAGGACTTTAGTGCTGATAGAACCCAAGACTCCACATACTAGGCAGGTACTCTATCTGAGCCACATTCCACCCACCCCTTTTTTATTCCTTTTTATTTTTTTTTCTACTCTGTATTTCAGGTTGGCCTTGAATTCACTATGTCACCTGGGCTGGCCTCGAACTCACAATGATCCTCCTGCCTTGGCCACCCAAGTGCTGGGATTACAGGCATGTGCCACTACAACCAGCTCAACCTCTATTTAGATTCTAATGATTACTATTAAATCCAATACATATTATGGAAGTCATCTGCACTAGAGAAATGGTGACATCTAAATAGAGTTTTGAAGGTAGATAAGAGTTTATGATATGGATAAGAAAGGCTGGGCTAGACAGAAAGAAAAGCATGCACTACTTAGTGTTAGCAGAAAGAATGCAGAGAATAAGAGACAGGCAACAGAGAGGTGAACTGCCCTAGAAGGCCACAGGCTACAAAGCTTGGAATTTAAGCTGCACATGTGAGACTCCACAGGGTCTGGGGCAGGGGGGACGTGGTCAGAAAATGCTTGTGCCAGAGGATGTGACAAAGGAGGAGCCAGGTCAGAAACTACAGATGATCCTTTAAATTTAAAATGGACAGCTAGCTCCCCTCTCTAGTAAGTAGCTGTGGTGTGGCAGGCTGTGGCCCCTTCAGGGGGAGAACCACCAGTGTCTCCTGCGATCCGCGCCATGCTGGATCTTACGATGCTGGGAAACCAAGCAACCAGCCTGTCTCCCTACTAAGCAATAGTGAGCCTACTGGTGCATGGGCTGAAAGTCAAACATCCCACTTCTCCTACCCCGCTTCCCTTGCCCCCCCCCCCCCCGTTAGCAAATGGGAACCAGAGATCTGAGCATCTCTTGGGAGGTTGACCATAGCAAATAAGGGGATTTCCTTCTACCATCTCTTTGAAGGCAAATATTTTTATTACTGTTTTGTTTTATTCTGATTAATGGTACTGCTCTGTTCAATATTCTGTTTTGATAAGTTCTATAATGTTCTGTGTTTCATTTTATTTTGATGTACGTAATTGAAAGAACAACTATTGTGAAGATAATGAGATATACTGTGATACCTATTACTGTTATCCCGGTAACCTGTTGTGAAGTTCTGTAGCAATTTCACCAAAAAAAAAAAAAAAAAAAAAAAAAGAAAGAAAAGAATTTTGGTTCTTAAAAAAAAAAAAAAAATGGACAGCTAAAGAGGGCAAAGCCAAACAGGTTAAAACTGATTCAAAGGAATTTAGCCAACAAAGTAACTACTGCCAGCTATTCATTAAGAGCACTATTCTATTAATCCTTTGATCACATCCCCTTACATCCTAGTCTGTTACCTGGCTTCAGAGATTAAAAAGTTCTGTCTAGCTAAAAGATATAGTTGTATTCAACTAAAGTTTCCAGCTCCGGGGCTGGAGGTGTGGCTCAGGGGCAGAACACTTGCCTATTATACACCTGATCCTCAGTACTGAAGAATTTTTTTAAAAATCCTTCTTGTTGTAGAAACTATACTTTCATACTTCCCCACCACGTTCCCCCTTGATGGCCCAAACTGGTACCCATGGCCAACTAGCCTAACACACACCTACCATGAACTTTAGGAACAGGAAGTGGACAACAAAGATGACCTGGCCCTTTCCCTAGTCTCTAGAAAAAGCTTTTCAGTCTGTTTCTGATCACCTTTACTAATGAAACTCACTCTCTATAAAAGGCATCCTGTGACTTTCCTTGACCAGAGCAAACAAAGCTTTCCTTTTATCAGGAATCACCACCACGGTGCTGCCCAAAGCCTTTGTAACACAGATTTATCTAGGTTTGAACTTGCCTGTGAGCATAATGGTGAAATCCCAGCCACAAGCTACCTGTTGGATAGGACAGCCACCAAGGGACTTGCAGAAGGTAAAATACACAACATCCTCCGTGTGACCAAGGCCCAACTGTCCATCTTTGTTCAGGCCACAAACAAAAAGGTCTCCTCCATCTGCGAAATACAAAGGTTCTGGTGATAGTGCACCCAAGGAAAATCACAGTTGCAAAGAGTTTTCATTAATTATTTAACTTTTTATCACCCAGTTAATGTTAATGATGCATATAATGTGTTCTAGAGCCAAATGATAGTAGGTCACAGGCCTGGAATCTAATATCTAAATAGAAACTCTAAACCTTGGAGTAGGGGCCAATCATTACCAAATGGACATCTACCATAACAAAAAAGCCGGTACTTTTTCAACACTGAAATGTGCCGGGTATTAAGAGCTGTATGTACAAAACCAAGTATTTGTCCTTTAGGTACAGTGTCTATGGCCAATAAGATTTTTAGAGGCCCATGAAAATGACTTCATTTTAAATTCTTTTAAAATGAGAAAAAAATGGATTTGGAAAAAATAAGAAAAAATAATATAGTAATATATTAATAATATAGCATATATAATACTAAATCCAGCCTGGAGTGTATTCAACTTTACAGCAACACAGTTATAAAGTAATTTATCACACTTCCTTACAGAGGAAAGGGTCTATGAAAAGTGCCAAGGACCCATGAAAGTCATAACGCTGCCCTATGAACCCCTGATTCTCCTCATCAACCATTATTATATAACAGCTGAGAAACAAATTAGCCCAGAAAGATTATACATCAAAGGCCACAAAGCTAACAAATTACTGAATCAAGATTTGAACCCAGGCAATTTGATTCCAGAGCTCATGTTCCTAACCATAGGTAGTATGTCCTTCTTCACAATATTATGTGAAGAAGTACTTGTACTTAGTACTTGTGTATTATCCAGGAGAGAAGGACAAAGAAACTACAAGGTTCCTGCTCCCAGTGAGTATTTGATCTAATTTCGAAGACTTCTAACTCAGATGTAAAAGTTAAACAGCAATACAGGGTATTAATATGATACATGTAACTCTGCCACTAATCTGCCTTGTGACCTTAAGCAATTAATGTTCCCCTCTAAGCCTCATTTGAATAATGTGGGGATTGTAGGTGGCCTAGATATCTGAAGCCCTTCTAACTCTTAAAATCTAAAATTCTCTAGTTTGGCTCTTTCCAAAAGGGTTTTGCTCTGCAAAATACAAAAGGCTGAAAGATGTTAATACAATATCCTAGAGGAAAATGTCTAAATAAGAAAATAAGTGGCTATCTATTTTTGAAGGAAATTACCTGTGACAATTACAGAATGTCCCCCTCCTCCTGCGATCTTCCTGACACAGCCAGGTTCACAAAAGTCAGTCAGTTGCTGGGGCAAAAGAATATCTTCCTTATGGCCGAGGCCAAGTTGCCCGTAACTATTTGCACCCTAGGGATAAAATACGGCAAAGATGAAGGAAAAAAATGAGAGCCAAATGTGTCGATGGCTACTTACTTGTCCCAGTCTCCCTCACTCTACAACAGATGAGATTCTATACTTACTCTTAAGACGTGGTTACATGCAACCCACATGTACATGTCAGGCCCATGCTCAGAACACCCTGGCTTTCATTTAAGAGAACTCTGTTGGCTCTGGATGTATCCAGTAATATTTCCCACCTCTCCCTTCCAATGCTCCCACCACCAAAGACCGCCTTTGGGAGACACACAAGGATCCCTTCTGATAAAAGCTAGCTACCCAGGCTGGGGGTATAGCTCAGTGGTGAACGGTGTCCCTAGCATGCACACAAGGCTCTGGGTTCAATCTCCAGCACCACTATACAACTCTAATAAGTAAAATAGTGTGACACTGCCATGAATGTTTTAAATACCCAACTACCAACTGAGGCTAAGGGAAGAAAAATGAGGGAGGAATAGAAACAAAGTGGGCAGACAACACTTTAAAACTAGTTCTTATACCCTCTTCCCATACTCTCACTGAGAAATCTGGCAACGAATTTCTGTAATCCAATTTAGCTAAAGATTTTGTGTCCTCAAGCGAAGTGCACTTTTATTTTATTTGTATATTGAAAGAGGTTGGCAGTGATCTCTAAAGGCCTTTCCAAGTACAATAGTTGGTGAATTCAAGAGTCACATGGTGAGACTTTGTAAGAGAACTCATCTCCCCTTGGTAGGGGAGATGTCTACTGTATGTCTATTGTTGTTATGCAATAAAAGTCCATAATCCCCAATCTGAAACCACTGCAGCTAGACAGATTCAAAGCTCAGAATTTCATAGATTTTGGAAAAGTACACATCATCTATACATTATAGATACATACTGCTGTGAGTCCTGGGCACCACCAACCAACAGTAAGAGTTCTGCAGTAAAAGATGTAATAGTGGACAGAGACTATAAATAGCCCTATATCCAGAAAGTTTTGGGTTTTCAGAGCCTTTAGTATTCAGAGATAAAAATAAGAGACTGTGGCCCTGCAGAGAAAATCCTATGAAGAATTCAGAAATTCTCATGATTTTTTCAAGAATTTACTCCAAGCTGGTTTTTCCTGAAGATGAGTGCTAAACCCTGTGAAGTACTTTAGCTTTTGAAGACACCTGAATGAGAAAGTGATTTAAAATAACTACAAACAATGCATGCAAAACATACACACTTAATAAACAAAGCGCTTCCTCCCACTGTCTGTTTCATACCCATCCTGACTGAGAGGATACGAAGTGGGATAATACGTCTAAAGTAGGGCACAGACCCCTGAGACCCTCAGGGCCAACGTAAGTTCCAGTTACCAAGATGAGCACTTTAGTCTTCACAACACTAAGCAGAAAGGCCTTACGGCTCTCATTTTACAGATGAAAAAAATGAAGGCTTAGGAAAGTTAAGTAACTTTCCAGTTATATACCTGGGTAGACAACAAGTCAGACGTCTTGTTCCTGTCACTAGACCTTACTATGTCTAAAAAAGAAAGAAAGAAACTGAATGGTGACCTAGCCCAGAGTTCACATGGCAGGAGGCCACCTGTATTACCCTATCTAAAATAGTACCCATAGCCAGGCATGAGGGAGCACTCCTGTAATCCCAGTACTTGGAAGGCTGAGGCAGGAGGATCACTGCAAATTGGAGACCAACCTGGGCTACAAAGTGAGCCCAAGGCCAGCCTGAACTTCACAGCAAGACCCTATCTCAAAAACATAAATAAATAAATAGCACCCATCCTCCTTTTCTGCTTTATCACTCTTCATACCATTCTTTGACATTAGTATATCTTTGTTACTTGTTTACTGTCTACCTGCCCTACTAGAAAATCAGTTCCCATAAGGGCAGAAATTTTATTTCACTATTTCTCCTGCATTTGACACTGTGCTGGCTCAGAAAAGATACCCTTGTTATCTACACAGTGACTATAACACCCTGTGAACCTAGGAAAGGTCACGTGAGAGACTGCTGTGTGCAGTATCCACACACAGATTTTTCTGTCAGCTTGGAGGTCTCTGTGGCTGCCCGTTATGAGACCTGCAGGCTGCTGAGTATCTGAGGGAAAAGTGAGCCAGGAGAACTGTTGGGTTCAAATTGTGGTGCCAATGTATGTAATACAGCAAGAGGCCCTAAACCCAAGATAAAGTAAGGCAAAAATTTAGTACAACCTATTACAATTGTATTTGCCTCTCTTCCTTCTAAATACTCCAGACATACCATATACACACACACACACGCACACACACACACACACACACACACACGCGCGTGCACACACACACTCCTACCAAAGTAAAGTTCATTATAGGCTAAACTGTATCCCTTTAAAATTTTTACATTCAACCTCCAACTTCTAATATCTGAGAATATGACTGTATTTGGAGGCAGGGCCTTTAAAGAGAACTAATTAAGATTAAATGATAAATAAACAAACAATAGCTTTTTTTAAAAAGTTAAATGACAAGGTCAAACGAGTGGAGTCCTAAATCAATATAACTGATCTCAATATAAGAAAAGATACCGGGGATGTTCACCCACAAAGAAAAAGCCACATAAGATCACAGAAAAAAACCAAACTGCTGACACCATACTCTTAGACTCCTAGCCTCCAAAACCAAGAGAAAAGAACTTTCTGTTGTTTGGCCCCCCATAGTCTGTAGTATTTTTGCTATGGCGCCGGTGTGCAAGCAGACTAATATAAAGATTACACAGCAGGAACACACCATTGGATTCCCAACACCGCAGCAGGGCGAGACGGGACAGTATTGCTGTTTCAGTACCATCAAGGCAAAACCTGAAAGGCCTTTTCGGTCAGGTGTTTCCTCTGTCCACACAGATCCCCAGCTCAAGTGGCATCTCAAAGAGCTCAGCCAGCCAGGCCACACCTCTGCCAAACTGCAGCCTTACATTCAACAAGTACTGTACGTAGTGTGTACTGATAATTCACTTTTCAAAAAATAGTCAATAAATGCTGACTGTAGCGGTATTACGGGTGTTAACATCCTCCTGAAACACAAGGTTTTTCACTCTAGTGTCTTTCCCAAACACCTAACACTGGTACTCATTCATTCATTCTTCAGTCATGAAGTATTTCCTAGAGACCTGCACTAAGCCACGTCATTACACTTGCGATATCCACGGAGAAGAACCACAATTCCCAACATCTGTGTGCTCTAATGCACGCCTGCCACACACTCCTATACACAAAGCCTCCTCTCTCCCAGATACACGTAAAGACAGCCCTGTCTCTCTCCACGCTCGCATCAGATCCACACCAGCCCAGACGCCCACGCCCCCGGCAAGATCTAGCCGCAGCAGAGCGGCAGCAAATCTGCAGGGTCTGTGCCCCGCGCACGGCCACACGCCGCAGACCTCAATCCGAAGGATGCTCCTCCCAGCCGGGTGGCTCCAGGGAAGGCTTCCTTCACTCGGGCCGCAGGCGGCGGGGGACACAGGTGGCCCCAAGAGTTCTGGACCCAGTGAGCCTCTCTCCACAGAGCCCTCCACGCTGTCTTCCCTGGCGCGATCTGAGCCGAGGGCTCTAGCAGAACAGACGCCGTGGGGGGTAGGCTCCTCCCGAGCGCAGCGGGCCCTCTCCCGCGGAGCCCACCGCCCGCAGGCCCCTCGGTCACGCCGTCGGGCCCTCCCGTCCCAGGTCGCTCCTCCCAGCCCAAGCCCAGGAGCCTCCGACCCAGGGCCGCCTTCGGCTCTCAGCCGCCTAGTTCCGCGCCGCCCACGCCCAGCCCGGGCGCTAGAGGGTCTACGCGCCCCCTGGCTGGGCGCGAGCCCGGGGCGGAGTCACGTACCCAGGCGAAGAGCGCCGCCGCCGCCGCGGCGGCCCGGGAGGCGCTGGGCCTTAGCTCCATGCGGGCGGGAGAGCTTCGGCGCGCTTCCGAGAGGGGCCAAAACGGGGCGGGGAAGGGCGGGGCCAAAATGGGGCGGGGCCGATCGGATGGGCCGCGACAGGCGCGGCGAGACCCGGCCACTGGGTGGCGCTAGGGCCCGGAAGGGGCAGAGCCCGACCTTTGGAAGGGGTCGCAGAGAGTTGGAGGTGGCTGCATCTCGCTCCCCTGGAATTCTGTCGCAGCCCTGCAGAACCCCGCCGCAGTCCAGCAGACCCCGCTGCAAAGCGGCAGTGCATCAGGCGCGCTCTTAGCTGTCCCGCCTCGACCTCTTGGGGCGCCCGGCCACTTGACCTCCCCTCTTCCCTCGAGCTTCCCGGGCTTTAATTTTGTAATAAATCCATACAGATGCACTACGCTCAGTGATGGACAGAGCTCCTGCACGTGATCTCCTCGGAATCTGACCACAGTCAGGAGAGGCTGACAGGGCTAGGATGGTGACTCGGTTTGGTGACGTTAGGAACTGCCCCTGACGGAGTGGGAAGGGACCTAGGCCCGGTCTTTGGCGGATCTGTCGCGGCCTGCTTCGGTGTGCTTTGGTGAGCTAGCAACACGACCTGAGCCGCTGTTGTCGCCTGCAGCGCCGGGCAAGCAGTCCAGCTAAGCTGCAGAGGAGGGTTAGCATCCTTACCCGCGGAATGGCTCTCCGCGCTTGGGCATGGCATGGCCCAGTTTTGATCGCCAGTACTGGATGAGTTTGATCCTGCTAAGATTTCCATATAAAGTGGCTTTTATCAGACACCATTAAATAGGGTCTCAGTGGCGCAGGAGAGTTAAATACAATTTTTCTGAAGGAAAACGTGACAGTACACAGTGGCCACCAAATTAGGAACTAAAAACAAATGGAATCACATTAAACATGATAATGCACACACAGTAACTCCAGGACCCTCTGCTGACCCAGGCCTCCAGTCCTCTCCACCCTTTATGCCTGGAGCACCTGGGCATAAAGTTGGCTCCTACCCAGCCCTTGCACCCTACCCTCCTTGCTTCTGCCTGTGAGACCACGTGGGTCCCATTCCTTCCCCTGGCTTTTACCTGTCCAGTCTGTGGCTACTTTTCAACAACGACGATCATGCTTGGAAAAGAATGTAAACTTTAGAAGGAGGCAAATCAGCTCTCCTCTCTAAGAGAAGCTGATGTTTTATGGGTAGCCCAATCTTGTTCTGATGATTCTTTTCAAGCATGTGTAATAGAATATAAAAATGAGACCCACTGCCTCTCAGTTTTGACTGAGTTACCAAGACAATAAGGGCCAAGTACTCTCCAGGCCTGAAATGGAGTGAGAAAAAGGCTGGAGAGGTCCAGAAAGAATTCCAATAGGGTGTCTGAGCACTGCTGTCAATATGATGTGGGCCTGCCTATCTTATGTCCAAGAAAAGCACCTTTCAGCAGGGCCACTGAGAAGGTTGGTATGTGTCCCTCAAGATTGGGGCCCCAACAGGTTGCTGTTCAATTCATTATAATTGAGCAAAGAGATACTGATGCTGAGGTTTTACCAGCCAGAAATTTTAACAGCCACAGGCTTTTAAAGATAAACACTGTCCATATGAATATGCCCAACTCATGAACAAAGCAGCTAAAAAATGATCTTAGACCCTGTCCAAGGGAATTTCTAGAAGAGTGAGATGATATCCTATGACAGTTGTCTGTTGGTTTCCCAGAGACTGAAGGGTATTCAACAGCCTAGTCAGAGAGATCCATTTACCGATATCGACAGGTCCTGAGAAATCACATGGGATGGCCTTCCAAACCCACAAGAGGCAAGTTAGCATTAAAAACTTAGCAAGGGAGCTAAGATGTCAACTCATAAAATAACTACCAGCCCAAAAAGAACTTCTCTACTTCTCCCCTCCTTCAACTTCTCTTCCCAATTCTGAAGGAATCAGAAGAGTAAGAAAATAAGAAAGTTAATGAATTGCTTTCTAATCCTAGAAGAGGAGAAAACATTAATCTAGAGTTGAATGCTTTAAATTTTTACACAGGACTGAACTCTTTACATACTAGGTAAGAGTGGGGAGGAGCGTAAGAGAGAAAGAGATCAGAAGGAGCTAGTCACTTCTTGTTATGTGTGTGTGAGCAACAAAGTCAAGGAAGTGTGTGCTGAGAATTCATCCTGAGGGGCAAAAAGGAGCTTCCTCCTGGTAGAATTAGTTTTAATAGTCTGTGAAGATACAGATTTCTGATTTCACTCCTTGGATGCACATGGCATCCAATAGTATCGTATCAGTAGTATAACCTACTGTTATACTATTATGTATAATACAATTTCTTAGAAATGTTGAGATGCTGTAACTCTTCCAACTATGTACATGCTTCTGATTAGTTCTTCCCATGAGCAGCCTGGTTGAGTTGCAGTTCTTGAATGGGACTAGATTTAAACTATTTGATAGAATCACTTTCAGATGCCATTTCTACCCACCCACCCCCCAAAAAAAGTGTAAAGTACTGGGAAACACACACACAGATAACCTTCCTGGACTATAAAGATAAAGATATGTTTCCATTTGATTATTTTATTTGATCCTCCCAATAACTAGTGTATTATTAGGGCCATCATTTTGTGGATAAAAAAAACTGAGGCTCAAAGAAATTAAATTATTTGCTACAAGGTCAGATTTCTGCTTTTAATAAAGGAAGATAAGCTAGCTGCTGACCAATTCTCTCACCAAAAATGACTAGAAATGCTGGCAGAAAATACTGTAAAATCTATTTCAAGTCATCAGAGAGCTATCAGTGCAGCAGGAATTTAAAGGACCATCATCTGGAAGCTGGGAGATTATATTTGGCACTACTTTCCTCCTTGAAATGCTTGCTAATTAGCAAGCAGTGTCTTGGAGGCTGAAATCTGGGCTCAAAGCAGCAGATGAGAAACTGAGCGGTAATTTTAGTAATTTTACAGGGCTGGGAGAGAAAGGCACTAAGTGTGAAGGAGGGAACAAAACTAGGGGTCCAGGGCCCAGAAAAAGCAGCAGTCCTGGTAAAACACTCCTAGTTTTCAGTGGGGAACACTAAAGTACTGTAGCCTGAAAACAGAAATGACCTGGAAATAGATCATCCTCCCAGAGACGGAAGTGCAGCTTCTCATTGGTTCCATCCCTAACTGGACTGGAAAGATTTTCCTATAACACAATACCATACTGCCTGCGAGAAGCAAAAGTTAGTGCCCTTGGGAGGAAGATTAACATCCAGAAGCTATGGGAAATCTCTGATCAGGAGAGGATTATATTAACAATTCTTTATATGTAGAAAATAAAGTTTGTTTTTACAACATCTTCTCACAATGTAATTTCTCCTGTAACCCAGTGCAGTAGACTTAGCTTGTATTTCAAGTCAGGAACATGCAACTGAGGCTTTATCAAGAACCGGGGGACATAATTATAAGTTTCAGGTATATATCTCATAGCCAGAATATTTTTTTAAGAAGTACAAAGATATGATAGTTTTAAACTAATAAGTTGCTAGTATAAATTTAAATGTTTCAATGGATATTTGACAAAAAATACTTGTTCAAAAAATGATTTTTATTTTTATTATCCAGTTGAATAAGCTTACAAATTATAAATATATATTACATAATAAGACAAAGATTAGCTAGAAAGGGATCATAGTATTTTTATCCACTTAAATTATGGACTGTATTGTATGTTCCTTTAGAGAATCCCAGGATTTTTTTCTTTTTCCAATTTGGAAGCCAACTTAAAAATTAATAATAATTATTTACATTTATGTCATTACTATTTATATAACTCCAAATGACAAAATCTGAGAATTAAGAAATGTAAGCATTATGGTGACCAACTTTTGAGTTTTCTTCAAAACTTCAAGAGGATACTACAACTGTGAGTAATGAACCAAGCTTCTAGTACAGTTGTGTACAGTACTCATGTTTGAGTAATTATACATAATCCTTGGTACTTTGAAGACATATATTTAAAGGCAAGGACATACGTAAAATTCTAGGACTCTCAAGATTTCTAATTTACCAAATATCACAAATCCACAGATTAGAAGAAAGAACTGGAATCCATTATTAAATATTTCCACTGTTCTTAAGTTGTGAATTACATGAGGTTGAGTCTATAACATTTATTTTAATGTTCTTCAGTCACAAAGTGATTTTTAAATATCATCATTTTAAAGTTCAAACTGATTCTTCACTATGAACAAATTTGTATGAAAATAACAGACACTGCATGCATAATTTGCTATTTGCTATCAATTATGGTCTCCTCTAATAGATTTCCTTGCATCAAAGTAGACAAACTACGAACTAGTGAATCAATATTTCAAATGATTTTAGATTAGCTAACAAATCTATTTACTATCAAACATATACTTAACAGTTGTTAGCTATTAAAATGTGTTAAGTAATGAACTGAAATAACATGAATTACTCTTCCAAATTCTATTTCCCCATATATCACAAAATGAAATTTGGTTTTTAAAAATTTTATATAATTTCTTTTGAAATCTTATAATGATTAAAAATCTAGTGGCTTTTTGAAATAAGGCATGTTAAATGGTGTGCAATCTGACAATTAATGTGAAAAAAATAAGGGTGGAGATTCTTAAGTAGCTGATTAAACCAGAACAACAAACTGAAATATGACCCTTAATACACTGTCAGCAGAAATTAGATCACTGGAAGAGAAAGCAAATGGGGAAGAAAAAGCAAATGGAGTGAATATTCCACTGATTCTGAGCTTCTCTTTGTACCTGTTGAATTTGATACTGGGCAGGTTTGCCACATTACACAACTCATTTCATTCTATGTGAATGGGGGTACATGAAGCTGTACAACATTGGCCTAATTTGTGGGACACCTGGATGGAAATAACTAGCAGGTAGCTGGAATCAAGAGGCAAAAGCTCAAGAAAGATGTCAGAATTAAAACTGCAAATATATGAGTAATCCAAAATTAACCGTGAAACCAAGGGTGTGATTGACAATCCTCATGAAGAGACAGCAAGAGGGAGAGCACTAAAGACAAAAATTTGAGGCACTGCTCTAGTTTGTGGATGGGGGAAGAAAAACAGGTAATTAAAGAGGCCTGGCATACTGCTGGGTGTCCAGGTTAATCCACTTATAGCACAACTGCTGCCATAGTTTGCATCTGGACTGGTCCCCAAGGGCCTGTGTGTTAGAGACTTAGTCTTCAGCTTGCTGTATTGGCAGATGGTGGAAACTTTAAGAGGTAGGGTCTAGCAGGAGATGCTCTGGCCATTGAGGGCATGCCCTAGAACAGACTGTGGGACCCTGATCTGTTCCTTCTCTCCCTTACCCCAGTATAAGGTGAGTGGTTTTCCTCTGGCAGATGTTCCTACCATCTGCACCCTCATCACTTGCTTAAAAGTAACAGGGTCAACCAACCATTGACTGAAACCTCCAAAATTGTGAGCCAAAATAAACCTTTCCTCCTTGAAGTTGATTATCATAGGTATTTTGTTATTAAGTAATGAAGAGGTAACACAGTTACTTAGCCCTATGCTACCCAGCTGACACCACATTAAAAAAAACTGATATTTGAAACCCTTGCATATTTATGCAAGACCTAAAATATTCTTCTTGACAAACTTCTGACATTCCATTTCCTCCATCTTTTTCCCACCCCTCTCTGCCCTTACATTTTGCCTTCTTATTTATGGACTCAGAAATCTTTTGCTTTTTCATCTTTTACTGTGTGTTCCTCTCCAGTGTCTCAGTCTGAACTCTCCCTTTGACAACACTCCCTGCTGCTAGACTGAGGACAATACCACCATGATCCCAGGACTGCATGTCTGAGTACAGGGTCACCAATGTGCCCTGGGCCTCATGTGTACGACAAATAACCTAGGAAAAAATCAGTATGACACAATGCCATAGGAGCATTTCAAGGAATAGAATCACTTGGGAAGGGCCTTTCTAGTGCCTACAAAATCAAGTGTGAAATCCATAGCCTAATCTTACGAATTACATCCCTATCAATCTCTCCAGTTATATCTATTACTCCATCCCTATAAGACACTGCACCTGAACCTGGATTACTTACACTCTTCTAGGCATGCTCTGTAAAATCTCTTTACCATGCTAGCTGCAGGCAGGGCTGGTTTAGGTGTGTGACTGAATGTGATCATGCTTTGTACAAACTCAGCAAAATTGGTACAGGTAACAATATGGGGTGAATTCACAATATTCACTAACCTTCTGAGGGGCTAGAACAGTCTTTTGCTCAGGAAGGATGGAGAAAATAGAGTTATTATTAGACTAGATCTATTCACTAGACCAAACAATTTCTCTATTAAAAGTTAGTGGTCAGTAGGGCTTGAGGGAATGCACCTGTAATCCCAGCTACTTCAGAGACTGAGGCAAGAGGATTGCAAGTTCAAGGCCAGCCTGAGGTACCTAACAAGACCTGATCTCAAAACATGAGGTGGTCAGTGAATTTGATGGTATATAAATTATATTTCACTACAGAAGTTACCAAAAACAAAGACCAAAAGAAAAGGTGGTGGACAGAGTATCCAGGTACACACTTTACACATTTTCAGAGACCAGTGATTCATTACAGAATGAGATTAGAGAGTATTTTTTTATCAGTATCAGGGATTGAACTCACAACCGCCTGCTGGCAAGACAGGTGCTTATGCTGCTAAGCTAAATCCCCAGCCCCAAGATTAGAGAGTATTGTTTAGACAGAGCTGTTGTCCATTCAGAATGAGGTCTTCAGGAAGAGTAACCGTTGGTCCACAGGCTCTGAACTGATGCTCAAATGCCTTCTGGATTAGGACTGGTGACTGTCACATACTCAGCTGCCTGCTGACCTTAGTGAGGGCATCACTGACGACATCGAGATCATGCCGCAGCTCGTTCATGGCACTGGTTATGCTCTTGGCATCTTTCAGGATCTGAATACTCTGAGTGTATGGATTATACTTCACCCCAAACGGACGCTTAATTATTTTGGTGAATTCTCTAAGAAAACAAAGAAGAGATCATCAATTTTTGACAGGGGAGCATTGATGAAAACAAACAACTGAATACCTATTTTGCATATGAGGCATAAGACAAGTCTTTATTAGATATGTGTAACAGTCTCATCTATTTCCTTACCTGGATGTGCAGAGAGCCCCTGGAATCCAACAGGTAGAAACCTAAAGTAGCACTGATACATCTACCCTGACATTAATAGCGAAAGATCTTCTATATAACTTCCTTAATAATTTATTACTGTGTACATTTCATGCATTTTTTTCTGTAGTTCTGGGAATTGAACCCTGGGCCTCACACAGGTCAGGCAAGAACCTTATCATAGAGCTATTCCCCCAGCCCTAGACAGCTCTTGACTACACTAAGGACACCAACCAAGGCAGCTTTATCTATACATACTGACACTTAGCCACATAGTAACAGACGCCCCAGTTATGCCTTACTTACATAATTCCTCATATATCTATATAAGTACACACAAGGAGGCCAGGAACAGCCCTGTCTCTAGAAAATATGTATTCTTTCCACCTAGAGTTTTATTATCTACCCTCCTCTCTTCCTGAATGACTCAAATTTTGCCCTTTCTTCAATCATCAAAGTTCTATCTCCTTTATCAAGTCATCATCTGAACCTCCATTTAGTACCACAAGAAAAATCATGTTCATGACCCACAGGGTTAATTATGCAGCTGAGGATAATTGTGCATGAGTAAGGGCTGAAATCTAGGTTGTGATCCATCTGTTTTATCTAGAGGGGGCCACTTCTGATTTGCACAAAGATGCCATATGTGCCAGAGAAAGCCTTGCTGGTATTGTTACACCGTTCTATGTATGGCCTACCTCCCCAACCACAGTAAGTCTCTGAAGATACAGGGCATGTCTTCAACCTCTTTCTGTCTCTCTCCTCATTGTGTGACCTCATGACTCTCCTCCATCAAATGTTGTTTTTCTGATTCTGCTTATGAAGTCCTTCCTTTTCCTGCTACCTCTATTTTTGTTCAAGCTTTTACTTTTTCCAGAAGTACTGAAGGAATCTTCTCAAAAGTGTCTCTGCCTCCATATCCTCCTTCCTTTCTTAATCACATACTTAGCTCATTAATAGTTAAAATGTACTTTTGGCCTAAAATTTAACATATCTAAAATATTGTCTATTCTTCAGGACCTGTGTCACCTGCCTCTAAGCTTTCCGTCTTGAATAAAATGCAGAACAATCTTTCATCCATGCCTCTTCTAGGTTCTTGTCACTTTCCATATTGTTATGTAGTAATGTGTATATAGTTTATTTTTTCTACCAAACTATAAACTTTCTGATGGAAAAGAATAGGAAGAAACCAATTTTTTCAGTTTACCTGGTTGTTATCATTGCTAGACCTAACTACTTCAGAAGAAAATGAAGAAGCTATACTGTACCTCATTTTCTCCTTTGCATCTTCAAAGCTTTCAGATACAAAATAGACATCTTGAAAAGTCGTAATAAGACATTCTTGTTTGCAGGTAATGTTGGGATCAAAGGGCTTTACTTTGGCTTGTTCAGAAAGTGCATGCTACAGTACAAGAAGTCAGTGGGTCAGAGAATGCTGTTTTCATAGATCACACAACTGCCCAAGTTGTACACTTCTGCATTTATTACTTATCCAATGGCCCTAACCTACAACCTCAAACTTCTTTCCTACATCTCTATTTAATTCACATTTGACTTCAACAAAACAAACGGCTTTAGAGTCCTCACAAAGGCCCTAAGATCATCTCTGTAGCTTTATTCCAACTCTTTTTTCCATGTCAGAGGTGCCCACAAAAACTTACTTATTTCTGCACTGTGGCATCTACTCTCTACCCAAGAGCATAGTTACTCCTATACTTAACTTATACTCACCACTAGGTAGCAGGCTCCTGGATAGCAAAACAGTACCTTGGACAGTGCTTTGCAGCCATTACTCAACAAACAAGTTCATTCATTCACTGAATAAACAATAAATCTCAAATAATTCCCTAGCAAGTATAGAAGTTATACTAGTGTACCACAAATGATGAGTGGTGAAGTCTTTGTAAGCAAAAGCTTCAAAAACATTTTTGTTTAAAAGATTGTGTGTATTCAGAAAACTTGGGAAATAGAGGAAGACGTCTTTCTTTTTTTAAAGGAAGATTTATTTTGGCTCACAGTTTCAGTATATTATCAGCTTGCTCCAAGGCAGAAATGGTAAGGCATAAACATGTGGAGAAAAAGGCTGCCCACAGCAGCCAAGAAGCTGAGCAGAGAGAGGAGCCAGGGACAAGAGTGTCCTTCCCAGTCACACCTCCAGGGGCCCAGCTGCAACCAGGCCCCAAGAAAAATGCCTTTTAGTAATGTTTCTAAAGTACATAAGATATGTTATGTACATGCACCAGCTCCCCATGAAGACTGTAGTCATTATGCACTGCAAATATGTACTTATAAAACAATTTAAAATTTAAAAAGTGAATGTTTACTGCCACCCCAAGTACTTTCCATAGGAGGCCCTTGTTCAAATGCAAAACCTTTCAGGTCATAGCAATTATATTTGGTGAATAAGTTATCTGCAAACATGTACAGCTCTTACTTGGAGTTCACTGATAGAAGAAAGTAAGCCAGCACCAAAGACTCTTAGCTGCCCGTCCTGCTTGCACAAACCAAACTCCACAGTGAAAAAGTAGCACTGCAAAAAGACATCAGTATTATTTTGCATCCCATATGACTCAGTATAAAGCAAATTTCAACTGTTCGTCACTGATGCAAAGTACCTCCAGAGTAAAGCCCAAGAACCCCAACTTAGGTCACAGGTCTTTCCACAATTTGGCCTCATTCTAACCAATACTTTTCAAACTTGTTCTGAAGATTCTTAGACACAATTAAAAATTACTAAGGACTAGAAGGTCTTTTCTGTGTGTAAGCTATAGCTAGCTATATTAGCCATAAAAAATTAAAACTTAAAAATTTAAATATTAGTTACCAATATTGTATACTCATTTTATGGCAAAATAAAAAATATTTTTATAGAAGTCATTTTTTCCAAAAGTGGCATTGTTTTACATCATTAAAATATCTTTTGTATTTTAATTATTTTGATAAAGTATAATCATATATAAATATTGGGTGCACAATGTGGAATTATTAAATTAATTAATTGACAACATTAGTACAAATCTTTTCAGTGTCTGGCTAGACATTTTTTAATGCCTGGCCAGAAGACAGATGGATTGTCCTATCTGCTTCTGTATTTAACCTGTCACAATATGTTGTTTTGGTTAAAGTATGTGAAGAAAATTTGGCTTCACAGAGTTATGTAGTTGGAAAAGGGTACAGCATTTTAATAGCCTCTTCAGATAAATATGGATATGCTTCTTTGAAATACACCGAAGTTCAACAGATGGTAGTTTCTTAAAGTTCAGGGACAATGTGGAATCAGAACTCTGCCAATGAACTCCATCTGTTAGATTAAAACCCATTTTCCACTTGACTGTATCTTTACCTATCCATGATTTTAACTTTAAGGACCCCGTGAAAACTCTTAGAAGCCCCCAGAACCTCCAAATCATAATTTAAGAAGTACCGCCCCAACCAGCCAACCTGTTTCACACCACACTCCCTCTGCCCCACTTTCCTGCCATCCTCCAGGCTTGCTAAGTACCTCTTTGTTTTCCCTTGTATATCCTCATCGTCAGATGCTCTTGCTTCCTTTCTTGGAACATGAGAATACTACAGTACTCATTTCCATCAGCTAGTACAGAGGCCCCTTTCCTGTGAAACCTTCCCCCAAATTTCTCTGCACTTCCAAACCACTCCACCATTGGAACATGACTGAATCCTCACACACGATATAAGTTTCTTAAAGATAGGAACCAAAACTCGTTCATCTTTCTGTTTCCAAAACAGTATTTTGTATCAAGTGCTCAAAATGCTTTTAGCATAATTTTATGGAGCTTATCATTTTCATTGGAAGACAAAAGGTATACAAATTAGTAGCATTAAAATTACTTTTTTAAAGTTTATATCTTTTTTGAGTGTCTTTTCAATCATACATCTCATTTTAAAATTAAGTTAAACATAAGGCAAATTTTCTAATTGTTATCTTCCATATGAAATTTTAAATTACACAAATACTCATACTTTGTACCCAGTTGAGAGTTACTGCACTATACAGCTTTTCCCAGATTATACCGTTGCCAGCTTTTGAATAGCCTCCTCTGAAGCTCCAAGTGATGCCAGACCAATTTCTTGGGAGAATTGAGCAAAACTAGGTTCAGCCAAGAGTGGAACATGACCTAAGAGCTCATGGCAGGTATCTCTGAAATAGAAGAACAAGTTTGTCACCTTGTGATACTTAGCATCAATGCATAATCATTCAATCAAATCACAATTCAATATTACCCCTGCCCTAGTTGATCAAGCAGTAAGGAATCTCAAAGGACACTAGCCAAACAAAGAAATGATTGAGGTTCAAAATCTTGGCCACTTACAGACACAACTTACATTATCAGAAACCCATCGACATGCTTATGTTCCAGGTCCCCACACAAATCAGATCCTATTCAAATGTCACTTTCTCATCAAGGCCCTTTCTAATCATGCTTCACGTAACAATAACACCCAAATACACACCTCCATCTCCTTTTACACCTTTATTTTCTCCATGGCACTCATCTCTGTCTGACAGAACATATATATACATTTTTTAGTGCCAGGGATCGAACTCACAACCTTGAGCTTGCCAGTCAGGTGCTTATGCTGCTGAGTTAAATCCCTGTCCCATAGATATACATTTATTTATTTATTATTCATATTCCCCAGTGAAGTATGAGCCTTATGAGCACCTGTCACTGAATGGGCTGTTGATTAATAATATGAATAATGCCTAACTGTTAGAACATATATTATGAGCCAGGCACTATTCTAAATGTGCCGATTCACTTAATCCTTGAAAAAACCCATGAAGTGGATACCATTATTATAAATAGCTCCCTGATGAGTGAATGAATGGCTGACATGTAACTTACGGCTCAGGGGTATAGAGGGGATCTGAACTGTGTCTCACATATTGAGTGCAGTGAAAAACTCGGAAGGCTAAACCTGATAGGAAATCTCTTGGTGACAAGTAGCCAGCCACAGGACGGATGGAAAACCCTGTGCGCTCTGTAAGGCAAAGAAAAAAAGAAAATCTTCATTATATATGCAGACTTTTATAGAGGGCATGGAAACTAAAATTTATCATATTGTTAAAAAGAAACAATTATTAAGCACATTGTGGCCAGGCGATGAGTTAGATCTTTTACAAAGTGTATCTTCTCATGGAATATAACATGAACTAAAGATTTTCTTCTTACTGTGACAGCTCAGAGACAGTAATGTGCTTGACGACACACAGTAAATAATAAAGCTAGGCTGAGAGCCCAGCCCCCTCACCTTACACCTTGTCATCTCCTTTGGCTCACTTTCTTTTTACAAACACTTGCTAACAAGACCTATTATTGTAGTTCAGAGCCATTTTGTGATCAATGCCATTTTTAGCTAGCACTGTCTTTGGCAGTTTGTTTTGTCTACACAGGATCACGTTTCGCCATTCCCCAACTGGCAAGCCACCCTACACTGTGAAGCATATCTTTCACTAAACAGCAGGGGCTTGGAGGACCTCTGTAATTGCCAGTCTTGTCCTTGTCAAACTTTTACAACCTTGGTACTCCATCCAGTTCCACCCTGGTGTCTTGTGGCTGGACGGTCGCATTCTGAGTGTCCTACAACTTCCCACCATGACAGAAATGTTCTATTCTGTGCTGTCCAGTAAGGCAGCCAGTAGCCAGCCACATGCAGCTACTAAACCCTGAACACGTGGCTAATATAACTGAGGAACTGATATTTTAACTTAAATTCATTTTAATTCTTTGGAATTTAAACAACCACATGCACCCAATGGCTTCCATATTTGGCAGTATGAGTATTATACCTTTTTATATCTGATGTTTTCTTTGGGCTGTCTTTTGATTTTGGCATCTCTTTGTCACCTGCCCTTGAAACACCTTCAGCAAACACATCCTGCAGTCAGCCCAGGTCCCAGAGAACAGCTTTGTATCTTAGCTGTTTTTGGAGCTTTCAGGAATTACGAAAACTCCTGTAGCAGAGTTGCCAAACTTTGTAAGCCCACTAAAGTCAGGTGCATTATACTATGTTTTAAAAGCCTAGTTTTTATAGTAACCACTTATAAGATTTCTTCCTGGAGGTTGGAGGTTTAGCTCACTAGCATAAATGTCTGACTGGCAAGCGTGAGGTTGTGAGTTCAATCCCTGGCACCAAAAAAAAAAAAAAAAAGAAAAAAAAAAAAGAAAAGAAAAAGATGTCTTCCCATGTGCAAAAAATATTACCCTTTCCTATTTAGTTCTTTTTAGTTTTATGGGTAGTTTTTAAATAATGAAAGTTAAAGTATCAACTGGATATGTAGATTTTTGTTAAAGAGTAACTTCAGCCATGATGAAGAGAAATTAAAAAGAAAGGAAGAAAGAAAACAAAAAGAAAGTAAATCCTTTCAGTTAAAAATATAACTTCTTTTTTACACTAAGATATCCAATCTGCTGAGATAACAGCAGATATTTATTTTTCTTAAATACTATTGACCCTGGAGATCACTGCTCATTTTACTTTCTATTTTAGTTTGAAAAAATAAACAGGTCTGGACCAAATGAGTATGGAAAATTAGGAAAATAAAATTTTTAAAATAAATTTATTGAGAAACTTCTCCTTTGTTTATACTTCTATTGTGATAGTTGATACACTGCGTCAACCTGAGAAACTTTAGAAGTTTGACTGAGAGACTCAACAGGGAGCCACCATTCTTATTTTGTAAATATCCTCATCCTGTGCAAAGGAGGGCAAGGAGATTTTGTGAGTGCTACACCCACCCTGACAAGCAGGGGTGGCCTGGGTACAATGTAAGAAAGGAAAAGGGGCTTGTGCTTTCCCTTTTGTGCTCTGGCTACTTTTGCCCTGGCTGCTGCCTTGAACTGTTGCCCCAGTGCCATGCCACCCTGCCTTGGAGCCAGCTGATTATGGACTGAAACCTCCCAAAACTATAAGATAAATAAACCTTTCCTTCCTTCATTTGGGGGGGTCAGGTAGTTTGTGCCAGCAATGAGGGAAAAGTAACCAAGACATATTTGCTAATCCTTCTTATGAAAGCAATAGAATCTCAGTGCAGAAAGGAGCTTCAGAGATCCTCTAGGCCTCCCTTCCCTCAGAGGCCTGCATTCCCTATACCAGTGCCTTTGACTAGTGGGTGTGGCACTTTTGCAGGATGCCTCTGCAGTGGAACAACTGACTAGCTCAGGACCCTTTTGCATTTTCAACTGGCTCATTTAACCAGACACGTAAGTGGAAGCTTACAGTTTCTATCCAACAGTCTCTTACTTTTAGAGCCGCATACTATTACCTATAAAATGGTTTTCAAATATTCAAATATTTAATAACTGTCTCCTAAACACCACCTTAAACACCTTCCTAATTTTACTATTGATAAGTTTCAAAATTCCCTTACAGTTTCTTCACTTTGCTCTCCTCTTGTTCCAGGTTATTATTACCTCTCTTCAAACACAGTGCCAATTCCTGATTGCAACACTCCAGGAACCCGTGCAGAAAAATTCTCAGCTCCTACATACTACATTTTATCCCTCTGCTAAACATGCTAAATATGCTGTCATGATTAAAACACAGTCTAACATTCCCCTTGCAAAGATCAATTAGCTTGATACCTTTTAAAAAGTTAGAGACATCTTCCAGTTGTGGAATATTATCTTCCCGATAGCCACAATATTTAGAAAGCAAAGGTAAGTTTTTGAGGTACTCTCTGCAGGCATGGGTTGGGTAGAGTTTGTTGAGCTCTCGGAAAACAGTTCCCCAAGTATTAATCTCTTCTTCAGTGAATTCAACCTTGGGGATGGGGTCCCCACTAATGAGAGAAAGGGAAGAATTATTCTGAATTAGCAGTCAGGACCCAATAGCACCTATTTTCTACTTACAAAGTAAACACAAGTGGCTCTATTGATTTATTTAATGATCTCAAATTTGGAAATTTTATCATATGTAATATACTTACTGCTTATAGTTCATAGCCAACTGTGCAAAGTACTTCCGTCTTTTACGATACACGTTGTCTTTGAAGCCCTGATAATCAAACATAGGTTTTTAAATATTCACACTAAAATTACTTGAAAAATGATGTTTAAGAAACGCTTCATTATTTTTACTGGAGATATTATATTACAGGACTACATAATTGTTACTATGAGCAAGTATTGTTCAGAGATTTATGATCCTTTTTATGTTGAAGTCAATGTCGCATAACAACTTTGTACTCTCCTGGCTGCAAAAATAAATACAGATAAAGATACCATAGTGACCACAAAGATAGACATTTTGAAGAATAGGGAAAGCACCACCCTAGTTAAATAGATGGCCTTTCCCAAGAGTGAATTTTTGTATTTTTTCCTTTAATCATTCAACCATATCTTTAGTTACATATACCTGTGGTAGTAATTAATAAAATAAAATTAGTAGGGCTGGGTTATAGTTCAGTAGAAGAGTCTTTATCTGCCACGTTTGAGTTCCTGGGTTTGACCTCAGCCCCACAAAGTACAATGATACTAAAATAGTAATTAATTAAAATTTAAAATAATGACAACTGAATCTAGCCTTAATTGTGCCACAAAATGCAGAACGAAATGGTGGCAGTAATACAAAAACAGATAAGACTGTTGATAGAATTGATATTTATGAAAAATATTTAAGAAAAAAGTAGATAAAATAAAGAATCAAAAATCTAAGTTTACAAACAAACAGCCAACAGTATGAAATAACAAGAAAGAAGAGGATTCCTGAAAACAGAGAATAAGACTCGTCTCTACACATTTTATGGGTCCCTACTATGCAACTGGTCCTCTGCTAAAAATCTTGAGAAATAAAAATGAACAAAGCCTAATTTGGAGCTTCAAGAAATTTACATGAGTCAATTATCCTATCAGAATGTAAGTACCTTTTCAGATTGCTCAGGTGTACACAGAGTGCCACGAAAACTCAAAGGAGACCCTCAAATCCAGAGTGTGAAACAGGACAGTGTGGCTAAGGAAAGGCTTCCCAGTGGTGACTCCCAAGCTAAGCCTCAGAAGGGGAATGTAGATCATTAGACAGTAGAGCACAAAAATGACAGCATCAACAACAGCAAGCACAGAGATGAAAAACAGCATGTTCTGTTCAGAGAGTAAACAGCATGTTCTTCCTAAGAAGATACAAGAACCCCAATGTTCATGGAGGTGCAGGGGTGTTTGGAACTGATATTACATGGCTTTCAGGCAGTTAGTCACAATTCCACCAATGTGGAAGCCCTAAGGCTTTTTGAACTCTAGATTAAAACAAGATATTATTTAGTCTAGAAAACATACTTTCTTTAATATGTTGCCTTTAATTCTTAGTTTGCTTTGAATGATTTTCATGAAACCATTTACTAAACAAAAATACTTACAGGATGATCTGCATCAAGTTCAGATCCATACATCAGAACTCTGGTAGCACAGAAGTCCAGATCAGAGATCTTCTTTGGAAACCAAGGAACACTTTCCATACCTGTCAAAAACCCAGTAAACACTGAAAAGATGACATTAAATAAGGCACTAACAAGGAAGAAATTAAGAAATTAATACATTCAGATGAGATTTTTAACTTGTATATTGAAGCAACATCTATACAAGTTAAGAAACCCACTCTATTTCTTTTTTTTTTTTTTTTTTTTCAGTACTGGGGATCGAACTCACAACCGCCTGCCTACAAGGCAGGTGCTTATGCCACTGAGCTAAATCCCCAGTCCAACCCACTCTGTTTCTAAGAAGTAAATTTTATTGAAAATTTTTTAGCTTTAAAAACAGTTTTTAGTGTTCAGATGGATTTTGCAAGTGTTGAAGAAATACCATACTTAAGTACAGACCAAAAGTTTTTTAAATGTCTTATGCCATATATTTATATATTTAGCTCTCCTGCAAAATCAGAATAAGGATGTACAGACCAAGGTGCAGGTTTAATAAGAATTCTGAATATCTATTTCTGTTGATGGGAAACCTTAGAAATGCATTAATGTCTTTGCTACCTTCATCTCACCATACCTCTGACAGGCATGAGACTCCAGGATTTTGCATATGTCCTTCTTTTACCTGGAATATCTGTCCCACTGCCCCCACCCCATCTTTCTGTCTTCCTGAGAACATCTTACTTATCCTTGAAGTCCCAAATCTAACAAGACCTTCTCAATTCTGCAAAGTGTTCCCTGTAGAAAGGTATCATTTTGTTTGGATTTTTGCGACACTGTGTGTGTAACTCTAGATGTTTTTACTATGTTTTATTGTATCTGTTTTTCTCGAATGCCTGGGAATGACTTAGGGAAAGGACTGTATATTTTTGTGTTTTTAGTTCTTGGTAGAATTATCTGACCCATGTGCTGGTGTGCCCTAAATGTCAACTGAACCAGGTAACCATCCACAAAACTCTGGATATAACAGATGAGGTAGCCAAACTTCAGAGAGGTGAGGTAATTGGCCCACAGTAACTCATTTCCATTTTTAGTGGAAAAAAGAGGACTAGAACTCAATGCTTGCTCCAGTGCATTGCCCTCCTGTATCCAGCACTGATATTCAAGAAATTTAACAACAAATACAACAAGGGAACTGATCAGTAAACACCGACACCAACAAAATCCATGAATCCTGCTCTGCCGGGTGTACCCCTTCTTTGTTAATGGTGGGTAAGAGGGTTTAGGCGAGAATGTGGAGCAACAGAGGCCTCAGGCATGATGGGAAGCAACCCAGGGAACCAGCTCCCTGACAGCCAACATGGAAGTATATCAATATTTTAATAATTATACAACCATACAAATATACAACAGATGACTGTTATCCCTGATTATACTCCAAATATTGTGACAGAATCTGAAGAGACTATGGTAGACTGAGTGCCATATATAAAATGTGCTAACTTATCTATTTGTCCTTCTGTTTCAAATAAACCACCAGGATCATTGTCACTAATGGAGATCTTCAACTCCATCTTTGCTCTCTGAGTATCTGAAACCTTAGAAGGCTTTGCTACTTTCTCTTGCTTTCGATGGGGATGTTGTGCTTAATGCATTTCACCTGACAGTTGTCAGACACTGTCAACATTTTCAATAAATTTAAATATTCATTCAATAGTTGCTAGGAACCAAGAGATTTACTAATTGCTCAGGGAGGGTGAACTGTCGATCTGTGGAATCAAGAAATGCCTGATCAATAATTCAGAGGTAACTGATTCGTAATCATTTGATTCTTCCTTATACTCAAGGTTTGCTTTTCACTTTTCTCACCCTTAATCGGATGATGCTTTATAATTTTTCTTTAGCATTCTGAGATTGTGCTTTGTGTTTCCTTCATGACCAGTCCATAAGAACTCTAGAAAGACAGTGCTTTATTTTTATCTTCCCATCTTCAAGATGAATGTAAGAGTGGACTTACATAGGTACTTAATCTCGTAAGTAGCATTTTCACTTTTCAAACTTACCATCTTCCTTCATAGTAAAATTGTCTGGTGGGTTCACAGAGAGAATGTTAGTATGAGACTGCAGCAGATGAAAAATATCATTCAGTTGTTCCCTGTTAATATCACAGTCAACGAAAATCTCAAATTCTGAATTTCTTCTCTTAGATATTCGGGATTCGATATGTAACAGGTTCACATGTTTCTCCTGTGTACCAGAGAGTAATAATGACAGGTAACTGCCTCAAATATACAGAGCCTTTGGGTAAATTATTTTCATTACAAGCAAAGGCCAATTTCACCTATATAATAACAACCAAAAGAGAAAAAGATGTTTTTAGAGCTGCCAACAACAAAATAATTCCCCCTCAAATATTATGTACTATGCAATAAAAGTCTGAAAAATCCACCATACCTTTCAAAAACCAATAATATAACGCCTATTAGAGATTTTTCAGGTAGCACAAAGTAATTGAAATTCAAACCAAAACACTAGGTCTCCTGGATAAAAAGAATATTTGGAAAATCCTCACGAATAAAATCAGCTTTCAGGGGGCTGGGGATTTAGCTCAGCGGCATAAGCGCCTGCCTTGCAAGCAGGCAGTTGTGAGTTTGATCCCTGGTACCAATAAAAAGGAAAAAGCTAAAAAAAAAAATCAGCTTTCAGAAAGTGATATTAGTGTTACTCCTTGTGAAATAAAGTCATTGAATGCAAAAATATATTAAATAAAATCAGATGAGCAGTTTGAATACAGAGTACTTAATATCCACAAACTCAGTAATGAGCTGAGCGAAATTGCTTCTTCCAGTCCTTTCTACGTCAGTCTAAGCTATGGGTACCCCACTTGCAGGCCTAGGGAAGGAGAGTATGTTCTCCTACCAGTTTGGGTACTGTCTTGGTTACTTTTCTTGTAGCTGAGCCAAAACACCCAACATCCATAATTAAACGTAAAAATATTTCAGCTCACAACTTGTAGATGTTTCAGTCCATAGTCAGCTGGCTCCAGGGCAGGAAGGCTTGGCAGAGGGGCATCTCAGAGAAACAGTTCATAGCAAAGCAGGGCAGGCAGAAGGCAAGACAATGAAGCAGCAAGTGACAGCAGTGACCCTCATCCTGTCCCTTGTATTCCACCTAGGCTACCTGGATAGCACTCACACCCAGGGTGGGGCACCCTTAATCCCAGAATGGCACACTAAACCCCAGCATCACACACCTAATCCCAGAATCACACAGCCTAGATCCAGCCACCTCCAAAAAACCCTAGCTATGACTGAATGAGGCTTTGGGGGGAACATCTAGATACAAACTGTAACAGGTACTGAGAAAAAGCATTGAGGACATAATGATAATAAACATGAGAACCAAGACCTCAATAGTTTTCTGTCTAAAATATGAGAGTGTTAGAGAAGATAATCTCCAACACTAACCAGTTTATCCTAGAATAACTCAGTGAACAGCTATGTAGTTAGTAAGTGCCATGAAGAATAAAAAAGAGGGCATGACAAACAAGGAATTTATAGTTTAGTTGGTCAACAGGTGAAAGACTATGAGAAAATACAAGTATTGCATCTTCATATGCAAGCATGCTCAGCAAAGAGAAAAATGTCATCAATCAAAGAGAATAGAAAGTTTCATGGAAAAGCTGGGAATTGAAATAAATATTAAAGGACACATAGAATAGGAAGAAAAAGAAGAGATTCTGCGTGGAAGAAACTATACAAGCAAAGATAAGGGTGAGCCAAGAAGAAGAGTACTATAGGGTGTTAGGACATAGGTAGTTTATCCAGGGGCATAGAATTTATCATTAAATAAATAGAAGAAAGCCAGTTACAAAACAGACTGAAGGGGGCTGGGAATTTAGCTCAGCGGCATAAGCACCTGCCTTGCAAGCAGGCAGTCGTGAGTTCGATCCCCAGTACCGATAAAAAAATGAAAAAGACAAAATATATATATATATATATATATATATATATATATATATATATATATAAAACAGACTGGAACTGGTCAGGAGTAAAAGAGAGCTTCATTTCATCTATTTCTTATGGTTTTTTTTTTTACCATACATGCTAAATATTTTCTAAACAATGATGAGTATATACTTAGTATATACTAAGTTTTGAGAAAAAGATGAAAATTCAATTCTTCCTAAATTAATATGTAAATTGAACACTACCAAAATTTCAATGGATTTTTGTGAAGAAACGTAATTAAATAATTTCTAAATTGATCTGAAGAAAAATATAGTCAAGAAAATCCAGATACAATAGGGATAAGTTACTTGAATTACAGAAACAGAAGCAATGAGGGGTTAAGCAGTTAATCCAAAGGCACACAGCTAAGTGCTGTCAAAACTGGAATTCGAGCCTAGGCTGTCTAGTTCAAAGGTCCATGTCCTCAAACATTACACTGCAATCCTGTTGTACAAGAAAGGAGGCATTGTTATGATTTGTGTCTGGATGTCCCTCCAAAGCCTCATGCAGCCGTGGGAGTAGGCTTCTAGAATTTGTGACTGATTCATGGTCCAATGCTGGGATTATGGGTGTGAGTGCTAGGGTGGGTGTGGCCTACATACAATATAAGGGATAAAAAGAGTCTTCTCTCTTGCTCCTCCCTTTTTACTCTTGCTTTTGCTGCCTTCGGCCACCATGAACTGTTGCCCTCTGCCATGTGCCACTCTGCTTTGGAGCTGGCCAAGTATGGACTGAAACCTTCACAAACTGTAAGCTAAATAAACCTTTTCCTCATTAATTTCAGGCATCACGTATTCCCTCTCAGCAATAAGAGAAATGTCACTAAGAAGGGCATAAAAATAGCGATTAATGCAGTTCTTCTTCAAACAATGTTTATATAATCTTAATGAAAACACTAAACATTGACATAGACAAAAATGGGGTGTAAGAACATTAAGAAAATTTCTCATGTGCATTGAGAAACAAGAAGAGGGAAATTGAGGAGGCATCTGCAAAGGGAGCTACATAAGGAAACCTAGATCTTTACTTCCATTGAAGTAATCAATAAGTAACACCTACAATTGAAAACAAACAAGAAATAGAAGCAAAGGGCCGGGGATTTAGCTCAGCAGCATAAGTGCCTGCCTGGCAAGCGCGTGGTCATGAGTTCAATCCCTGGTGCCAAAAAAGAAAGAAAGAAAGAAAGGAAATAGAAGCTAAGTAGATGTGAGTAAAATATTAGCAAAGTAGTTTGAAAAGTTTAAAAGGAGTGCTTCCTTGAGGGTGAAGGTAAGTAAAGTAGGGGGATGCTCCCGCAGAACCACAGGCAGCAGTCAGGAGAATGAATGAGGTGTACCTGTGTCAGCATGAGTGAGCATGAAAACAGAATTGAGTAGGAAAAATGACTACAGCACCATTACATGTATGTACATTACTAATATTATACACATGCATAAATATTTCATATTCTAAAGTACACATAAAGTAAGACAGTGTACATATCAGACATATTACAGCAGATGTCTATTGGAAGAGAGAGATTGAGACCGGAACAATACAATAAGACAGGAAGTGACTGTGTAAATCGATGGAGGCAGTGCCCATGTGATTTAATTAGTCTGATTAACTAAACCCTCTGCACCTATGGTTATCAAACAAACGAATCTTAGGAACGAAGACAGATGGAGCAGAAGGCTGCTGTTCTCTTGATAAGTTTTACAGTATGGGTCAGCTTTCTAAACCACACGCAAATATTATTTGAGTAACAATAAAATAAAAATAAAAGCTGATGGGAGAAGGAAATAGGTAAATTATTTAAAAGCCCAAAAGTAATCAACACAATTAAAATAATATAATTATCAAATTAGAGAGCAGAGAAAGGGAATGAAAGAAAGACACTATCAATATCACTGTTTATAATAGAGAACAAACAAATATTGTGTAAAATTCATAATTCAAAGAGAGAGATGAGCGGTATTTTATTTCATAATATAGTACCAATGAGCTAAAGAAAAGAAATAGTTTTTAAAAGTTGCCATTAGAGAATAGAGCAGAGGATTGTAAGAAGTCTGATATTTTTCATCATAAATTCTCCTAGATTATTTGTATATCTAAGTTTTTTAATTCTTGGCATTATTATTTTCAAATAGCTATATAATAGTAAGTCAGATGGATATAAACTTGATTTTTTTAAAAATACTTAACTTTTACTGATCATTTACTCTGTATTATCGTAAGCATCTTAAATGTATTAACTCTACTAGTTCTCATGATGTCACTGTGAGGTAGGTAGGGTTCCTCTCATGTTAGAGGGAAATAGAAAGAGATTAACTAAATCACCTATGACCTCCCAGCTAATAAGTAACAGAAAGGATGTGAAATCAGCTGGTCTGCTGGTAAAACCAACCAGCTCAACTACAGCAGTGTTCCAGCAGCATGATTCGACCTGCCCCTTCCTCAGGACAAGCAGTTTGTGTATAATTTTTAGTTCCCACAAATAAATCTTTTGTGTCCCTGAGCCCTTAAACTAGGTTAGGTCTCCAAACTCAGTACTGTCACCTGGTACTTTTGAGTCACTTTATACATATACTTCTTTAAATACTCTTTGTTTGTCTAATATCTTATCTTCCCCACTAGATTATACACTCTTTGAGGGCAGGCACTGTGTCTACTTTGTTCAGCTCCACATCCTTATTATCTAGCACAGCCCCTGGCACATAGGAAGCACTCAGTAAATGTTCATGCTTTACCAGAACAACACACATTTCCATAAAACACAGGGAAATGGAATTACCAGGGCAGAAAATATGAACGTTTTTTGAAATTCTGCATTATTTCTACCCTTTTTCTGTTTTGCTTTTTTCTCTAAATAAAATTAAGAAATAAAATCATGTCCACAAAAAAAGAAAATATGAACATTTTAAGACTCAAATACATATTACCAGATAGTTTCCCTACGTTATACAGTACCAATTTATCCCCCATTTATCTTCAAGTACACTGAGGGTACATCTGAAGACTAAATGCAATGAAACTCACATAGCAGGAGTGTAATTATAGGATCTTTGCTATCAGCAAAATATGGTTTAATATTTTAATATAATAAATGTTATCAAATACATCAATATATAGGATTGAGTAATCATTAATTTTCAACTTTGTTTAGTAAAGTTTTCTTCTCTGAAGTCTATGAAATGAATCTCCTTCTTCCATTTGGTTAGTAGCTGTTTCTATTCCTCCAGAAATTGTCTAAATCTCTTGACCATTGGTTAGAACTGAGTAGTATTTTAAAAACATAAATTCTTAAGAAATTCCTAGAGCCTATCTGAAGAGTTTATAATGCTTTATATTTTAAACACACATGTCACAGATTCATTCCTAGCACAGTTTTATGAAAATATATGAAGAATGCTTACCTGGAAAATTTTCAGTGCTCTTATCAGTCCTCCAACTTCATTCTTTAAGGAAAAAATGAGAGTTACTCTCCCTCTTTCCAAGGAATACTCTTTATTCTCCTTATTGTCTTCAATCATGATGAATCTGGAGTAACCCTCTGAAACTGAAGTGTGAAAATACAGACAGAAGACTCACAGTGAAGTTGGGCAGCACCGATAGTACCCCATAACTCGGGGTACATGGAAGTCTCCCAACCTCTATTTCCTTACCTACAAAATCAGAGTATGCAGATATGTTTCTGGGTTTGGTTTGGTGCAGAAACTAATTTCAGGGCCTTCATGCTGAGCTACATCCCTGGACCTATTAGTGTTTGTTTCAGACAGGATCGCACCAAGTTGCCCAGGCAGGGCTCACACTGGCAACTCCTCTGCCTTATCCTAACAGTGCTTGACTACAGTCGTGTGTGCCGCCACATATGACTTCAATGTGTTTTAAAAATCTGTCATGAGGCCAAATAAGTTAATAGCCTGACTAGCACAGAGCCTCCAATGTACCAGACATACATTACAAATCAAGTTTTCTATTCATTTTTCTAGTCCAATCACCCTTTCAGGCTAGCACTCAGGTCCACTAGCTTCTTGCCATCTTCCTGAGACAACAGTGAGTGCTTTTCCTCTAGAAAATCCTACCTCCCCTCCTATTGCAACTTTTTTTTTTTTTTGGACCAGGGATCAAACTCATGACCTCGTACTTGCCATGCAGGTGCTTATGCCACTGAACTATATCCCTGGCTATCACAATTTTTTAATTTTATTTTTTATTTGTACATGTTTACAGCACATAATGATTACATTCCTTGTGAGGAGTCAATACACATACACATCACATCTTAATTCTTTTTATCATTCCTTTCTCCCCTCCTTCCCTCATCACGACTTGGGTACTTCCTTATACTGGGTCTTCAATGACTTCCCCCAAATGCTTTGCTCCTATGTGTCTTGCCTCCTAACAAGGCTGCAGACTCCTTCAGAGAGCAAGGTTTCTATTTCTTTTGCAAACTCAACAGCAAGACCAGCCCTGGATACCTGTGAGCTACAAGGATTAACTGCTGATCAGAATTCTAGTATCACTGTGTGGCCTTTCCTTTCTGTCCAGGGAATCCCTTCATTCATAGGGGATTTCCAGCATTGGCCTACACATAATACATGGTTATAAGTTCCACTGTGTGTTGGGAAAGAGAATGAAGGGGAGGATATTGTAGGGTAAAAAGCAGGGCGCGAGAACTTTACATTGGTGACTTGCAATTGAGTCACACTTAAGAAATAAAATTTGGATAAATGGAAGCAACACATTGAGGGTGTGGGATTTTTTAAATTTAGTTTTATTTTCATTTAGATACTAGGCCTTAATCATGGCTGTGCCAGTTAATCTAATTTTTTTGTTTTGTTTTTGTCATTGTTGTTATTGTTATTGATGGAACTGGGGATCAAACTCACAACTCACACTTGCCAGGCAGGCACTTGTGCTGCTGAGCTATATCCCCAACCCCTTTTGATGATTTTGAGACAAGGTCTCACTACGTAGCTCAGGATGGCCCTCAACTCACTTTGTAGCCCAGGTTGGCCTCAAACCCCCAGCAATCCTCTTGCCTCAGCCTGCTGAGTGCTGGGATTACAGGCATGCGCCACCACACCAAGTTGCCAGTTAATCTTAATTGTCAATTGACTGAATTAAGAAACTCTGTGGAGAGCTGATTGTATCATCAGGGAGCTATCATCACCAGAGGTTTAATCCACTATAGCTGAATGTGCTGTAGGAAGTGGGGCCCAGTTGAAGAAGGTGAGTCAGTGGAGGCAGGTCTTTGGAGGGTATATCTCTTTCCCTGCGCTTTTCCCTGGGCTCCACTTTCCAGCTGCCATGATGGAAGCAGCTTTGCTCCACCACATGCTTCCATCCTCCTGTTTCTGCCTGGTGCCAGCCAACCATGGACTGAAACCTGCTAAACTGGAAACCAAAATAAACCTCCCCTCCTTTAAGATACAAATGGTATTTTGTCCCAACAGTGGAAAACTGACCAATACAATGGATGGTTTGCTATTGTAATTTTAGTGGAATTAACTTGTAACAATTTAAAATGATATAGCTGACTCTACTGTCTTTCACGTGTTCCCATGAACTGACCCAAACTTATAGCCTGTCACTCAGAGCAGATTTGGTAACCACAGTGTCCTGGCCTGTCCAAGTCAGCTCCCCGCTGTGCCAGTTATCACCGAACCTCTTGCCTGCCACTCGTAACAATAGTTACAGGGGCAGCTGTAATTCTGCTTTGAGGGGGATTGGACTTTGTTCTTCCAAGTAGCCTGTGTTGCATAGGAGCAGGGATCACATCACTTTTCCTTGTCATCTGTATCCCCAGCACCAAGTATTGCCTCTACACACAAGAGCCAATGGGTAGATGTCACAGAATGAATGAAACGTTTATTGAAGCTATTCCCCTTCCCCTCAGGGAACTAAAATTCTAGTATAGAGAGAATGATAACACAGAAGAACAAGAACTGTCATAGCTCAGGATGGCAGCAACTATATTAATTATTTTGGTATCTGTTCAGAAAAGCCTTGTTGAAGATGTATTTCAATAATATCTTAAAGAAAAAAAGAGGGAGAGGAGAAATAGATGTGGAAGTGAAAGACAAAAGAGAAGGTGATCCAACTGTTTGCAGTCTCACTGTTTGAGTGTCCACTTTGTATGCTTTGATACTGTGACTTGAGCAACTATCTCTAAGATGACAATATGTAATCTATTAACTGGTGATTTCTTACTGTTTTTTTTTTTTTTTTTTTTGTAGTTCTGTATTACTTGTACCCTCACACCGCTTTGTTTTGTTTTTGTTTTTTCTCTTTTTCCTTTTAAATAAAATTTAATAAAAAGAAAGCCTCCAACTGGATTATAAGCTCCTACTGCCATAAACTAACCTTCCTCAGTCAGTCCTTGCAATGTTTCACCATCCTGGAGCCTGCTGCCCATTTAAAAATAAAAATAAATGTTAAAATCTAAAAAAAAAAAAAAAAAAAGAGAGAGAGAAGGTGATCAACCATTACAGAAAAGTAAGAGATCACATAGGAAAGGTAAATGCAGTCAGATATTTCAGAAGGCTGCAGATGGGCAATGCAGGGGAATCCCGACTTGATCTACATCCATCTCAGCAACACAGCCAGTCTGCCCTAAAGCTAAAGGAAAAAATAAGGACAAAGAGTTAAGCCAAAGTCCTGGCTTTCAAATGCTTTTCTATGGAATGATATAAGAAGGGGTGTGTTACGGCTTGTATCTAGATGTCCCCCAAAGCCTTGTGTGGTCATAGGTGGGGAGTTTTGAAAGCAGCTGGATTAGGGTGTGTGAATGTGAATTAAAGGGGATTGGGATTAAGGATATGGGATTGGGATTATTGGGATTAAGGATATGGATAATGGAAAGCCTACCCTGGGTATGGGTAGCACCAATCAATAGGTTTACAGCCTAGATGGAATGTAAGAGTTGTCGATCTTGCTGCTTGCTTGCTGCTCTTTTCTGCTGTGAGGCCCCTCTGCCAGGCCACCCTGCCTTGGAGCCAGCCAACTATCAACTGAAACCTCTACAAACTGGGAGCTGAAATAAACACTTCCTCCTTTAACTTTGGTATCTATTATTTTGTCTCAGCAACAGCAACAACAACAACAACAAAAATAACTAGGTCATTTTTTGGTAGCAGAGAAGTGTGGTCATTGCCATGACTGTACTTAATTATGTGGTTCATGAGTCTTTGGAATCAGCTTATAGGAAGTGCTTCAAAAGGTTTGGAGAAGCAAACTGGCCAGCTGAAGAAGCACCCCTGGAATGCTGCAAGCTAAACTTGATGGGATATTCTGGTCTGAGCTCAGAAAACCTAGTAAAGACCAGGCTCATGAGGTTTAGTTAGGAAAAGGAGTGCACTAACTGTTGAACTCCAGACCATGCATGTTATGCTTTACAGAAAATTGTGTGCATTTTGCTCATGCCCAGAGACTTTACCCTGAAGCTGAGACTAATTGTGGTAAACTAATTCATCTGGCAGAGGACATTTCAAGGCAATCTAATGTGAAAGCAATGACAAGGCTATTGTTCAGGGCTCTTAGCCAGATTTATGTTGATAATCAATAAGAGAGGGTTTATGCCAGGGTTTAGAAATACACACCTGTAATCCCAGCACTTGGGCAGCTGAAGCAAGAGGATTGTTGTGAGTTCAAAGTCAGCCTGGGCCATGTAGTGAGTTTAAGTTCAGCCTTGACTATGTAGCAAGACTCTCCCTCAAAAATGGGGGTGGGCAGCAAAAGTTTTGAGCTTGGCCAAAAAACGAAGTGCCAGTAAAGTTATAGACTGCAAAGATGGAACAAAGAAGAACTTGTTTGCCGAAAATAATGAGGACAATAGATAAGATAGCCCGAGGGCATCACAGGAGCCAGCAGGATGCTAGCCTTTGAAGCTTCAATCGCAAAGGTAAAAGACTTTGCTTTGAGAAGAGAGCCCCAGAGCACTATGTTCCAGAATGGTGGTGGCCTAAGTAATTTATTCCTGGGGATGAGGTTCAGTGTGCTCAGTGATCCAGGCACTCAGCCCCATGGCCAAGAAAGAAGAAAGCATGGCTACTGTTCCTGCTGACAGCAGACCTTGCTATCATTCATGTGGCACTGGTTTAGGTTTATGCAGAGTGCAAGACATATGAGGTCAGGACAGCTTCCACTCAGATTTCAGAAGAAGGGCTCAAAGGCCAGGCAGTGTGTCCCTGAGAGGGCAGTGTGTGACACTGTGTGAAGCCAAAGGTGTAATGGAGATTCCAGAAGATTAGAGAAGCCAGGATGTGAATCATCTGAGGAAAGCTACAAGGAGTAAGCAAACCTAGCCCAAGAGAGAAGTCATGAGAACTACAACTGCCATCAGTGTCATGGGGCTGGAGCCACTTAAGCCCTTTGGATTATACACCTTGCCACAGATTCCCTTGGATGCTGCATGTAGAACTAAAGAAATTAATGTTTGCCCTGCTGGATTTTGGACATGCTTTCATCCCATTCTTTTCTATTACTCTATTTATATATTTTGGAATAGGAATGTTTATCTTAGGCTGTTGTGTGTTGGAAAATATTTAACTTTCTTTTCATTTATACACACGCTCACAGCTAAGAGTTTATCTTAAATCTCAGAAAAGACTGTGGACTCAAGACTTTTTTGCAGGGCTGAAACTGTTAGGACTTAGGCATCATGTAGAGATGGACTAAATGCCTTTTGCATAAAGGAATGCATATGAGTTTTTTGGGTGGCTAGGGACAGAATGTTATGGCTTGCATCTAGATATCCCCCTAAAGCCTCATGTAGTCATTGATCTAGCATTTTGTCTCATTACCAACAAAATAACTAAGTCAGGAGGCATCATGCAATCTTGTCTTTCTGATCAGAAAGCCTTTGTGGGATTTCCCTTTCATCCATCAAGTGTCCTTAATCCACACTCTATCATGTTTGAGTGCCTTTTACCAGACAAAAGGCAGCCCCAAAGAGACACACTTGACTTGAAAGAATAAAGAGTCAAGTATAGCCAAATTACTTTCAGCTGCATGGTCATAATCAATAGTCTGAGAATACTAAACATGCTGGTGGAATACAACTGTTTTAGAATTTATCCTTTCAGATACCTTTGGAATTTAACAAATGTTTGTCATGTATGTGCTACGTTGAAGGACTTCACATAAATTCAGAGAGTATGGAGATAAGAAAAAACATAATTTGTTATCTTATGGATGGCTTAGATTCCAGTCACTCTTAGGAAGAGTGGCAAGAGCAGGTAAAAAATGGTGCTGGCATTTCTCAAATGTCTATATATACCGTGCATTAGTACCATACCAATTAATTATCCTCAAACCTTCAGAAAGTGGATGTGAATTATAGCCATTTTATATCACAGAGAAAACTGAAGCTTTGGATTCCACATCACTCAGGAAATGTACTTGGTATCTACCTTAGCATCTTTTCAATTACCTACACTGCAAAATTGTGTAATGAAATACATGATATGTGAAATCAGATAAATGTTATCATTCGTCTGATGTTTATCAATCAGTGTATGATCCTGGGCATGCTATTCAACCCTTCTAATATAGCTAATTTACTAAATAGTCACAACTTACAACATCCAAAATTCTCATATATCTTGAAATACCATGATATGATTGGGTTATCTGATGTATTCTCTACAGAAAAAAATTAGGCTATTTCAGGTATCAAGAAAAGACTGAGACATGCAACTTAAAAATGTAACATATATATTGACTTGGTTTTTTGTTTGTTTGTTTGTTTATTTGTTTTTTGTCTTTTTCTTTTTTATCGGTACCGGGGATCAAACTCACGACTGCCTGCTTGCAAGGCAGGCGCTTATGCTGCTGAGCTAAATCCCCAGCCCCTTATATTGACTTGTTTTAAATTCCCAAAACTGTTTATGTTTTGCTGTGCCCATTTATTCTCTATAGAAATTAAAATAGTCTGATTTGAAATGCTTTAAAAATTAAGCCATGCCAGTCATGGTGGTTCATGCTTATAATCTCAGCACTTGGGAGGCTGAGGCAAGAGGACTGCCATGAGTTTAAGGACAGTCTGGGCTACATAATGAAAGGCCAGCCCAAACTACACAATAAGACCCTTTAAAAAATAAAACAAAATAAAACTTAAATGGTCAGTTAAACTTAATAATATAGTGGATTTTCCTCTGGTCCAAATAATTGCTAATGATAAGAGGAATGAATTTTAATCTAAGCACATTCACAAGAGCATGACCATCATTACTGTTAGGGCAGGAAAAACTTAAAAATAAGAAAGCAATCTGCCTCTGAGGAATTTACAGACTTATGTATGGGGGTGAGAGGAGAGGCAGCCTTCCCAAAAAGTATGAGTGACCAAAAGAGGAGAAGACTGAGATCACAGAGTAGAGCACACATTATTTATTATATCCAATGCATTTATATTATTTTGATTTATTTAGAGATACAATGGTGTACTATACTAAGATTCTGAAACATTCTTATTCTTAAGGAAAGTTCTCAAACGGAACATTTGCCTAAGTAACTAGAAGAAAACCCATTTCCTATTCATTCTGCCACTGCCCCCAAACCAAAAGAAAAAGAAAAAATACATTTAAAAGCTAAGCTTACAGGGGCTGGGGATTTAGCTCAGCGGCATAAGCGCCTGCCTTATAAGCAGGCAGTCGTGAGTTCAATCCCCGGTACCGATAAAAAGGAAAAAGACAAAAAAAAAAAAAAAAAAAAAAAAAGCTAAGCTTACAGAGCCTTGATATTTCCTAAAATTTAGCCATAACTTTTGCCTGACTCACAGAGCTAATAAGACATCCCCTCATTTAATAACCTCCAAGCTCTTTTCAGAACCGTAATACTTTCCATTTTTTCTTTCTCTCCTCCACCTTCTACACTCTTCCACTCTTCCAAGGGAAAACCTTACAATTCTATCCTGGTGAATAAAAGGCTACAAAACGACTAATGGGTCACATTAATCTGAATCTGTGTCTCATCAGGAAGTATGTATTTTCTTTTTAAAGCAACCTTGCTCAGCCAGTGCTGACTGGTGTTTTCCCTTTACTCATTCACCTCCTCCCCTTCCTTCCCAAAGATGCATCAGGGTGCAGGACAACCTTTGGAAATAAGAAGGCAGACCGAAAGGATGTCAGGTCATCAGCCCTCGGTGGGTTTGTGTACCAACCAAGCCTTTTTCCCCTTAGGTTAATCAATAACAAATGAAATTTAAATTTATCTCATATGGGGGGGAAGCACAATCAGAGTCTTCTAGAAGACAGAACTAAAAGCTGCAAGAAGAACTGCTTCAAAGGGGAATCAGCTAATGAATCTTGATTTTCTTTTCTAAATGGGGTTGGGGGAGCAGCAGCATACAAAAGCAGCTAGTGTCCTTAGAAAACAAAGGTATGGGGAAAGCAATGGGAAATAAAGAATACATCCTTGCCTGAAGGTAATCTAATATGATAATAATAATATATGTTCGAATGGACCCCAGTGGTAAAATAGGTAAAGGGCAGATTGTAACTTCACAGAAACACTTATAGCTGGAATTCCATCTTCCTTTGACAACTGACAGGCAGAAGTTCAGTTCTACTCTTTTTCTCCCAAGGTAATCAGAGCAGAACATCAATGAGCAGTTCGTTTCCAATCTTGGAATATCAAACAGCTGTATTTAATCCAGGTTAAGCTTACCTGGGCTATTTACCAGATCGAAAATTCAAGGACCTCCACTCTTTGTCGACTGCAGCCTTCTGCCAGGCTCTTAGTCTTCTGCTGGGCAGGATGGCAGGAGCGAGGGTCGGCGTGAAGCTGAGAGGCTTTGCATCTGAGACTCCCTTTCTTTGGAGGAGTCTGATGAAGGGCTCACTTTATAGAAGAAGAAGAAAAGAGATGTTGCCCTTTGATGGAAAAAGAAGACAGACATTGCCTGTTTATGCTACCATGCAGTCAGTCACACAAGTTTGGGTTTCTCTGAAAGCCAGTTTCCTCAACTATAAAAGGCAAGAGATGATCCATCTCACAGGGTTTGTTGGGAAGGTAAAATAAGAGAACCGGTGAAGACCCTGTTCTGACACCCAGAAGTAGCGTCTTTTCTCTCCAAAGACCCACAGGGGTACCACTGTGGCCCACCAGACCCAACTCCCAGTGGATCTTAACCTCCCAAAAAGGTCTCTGACCCCACCTCGCGCCACCCAAGCTCCCCTAAACCTCGGCGGCGACCCCAGAGCCCCGCAAGAGAGATGCCCCCACTCACCGGGCACCACTGGCAAGGAACCTAGTCCACCAGAGGACCCGCATGCTCACCTCTTATAGAAGCCGCGGGCGTCGGGAAAGCCAATGGGCGTCCGGGGTGGCTGGCGGTGGCCAATGAAGAGCGAGGAGCCTTGGGCGGGGCGGGGTTTCGGGGGGGCGTGCCTGGGTGCCAGCAATCCTCTCTGCGGGCAGATGGAGCCCGCCCGGCCGCACCCCGCGCTCGCGCTTGTCTGTAGGCGACTTTACTGACGTTTTAATTAAACTAATGTCTGTCAGGCCGTCCTGATCCACAGAAGTCTGACTAATGTTAAACAATGAGTTAGAATTTTCCTCCTGACCAAGATTACATCTGCTGCTGACATAGGACCTCCTGTAGGCTGGGACTGCTCCTCCTGGGGTTGGGGAAAACAGCAGGAACCCCCTCCCTGTATCCCCTCCCCTACAACATCCCCGGGGCGAGTGCATTGCCAGCCTGGTCTCACCTCCTCGCTCTCTGGGTGCTATTCTTATTCCAGTAGGCAAAGCAATCTGAACTTTCTAGAAGGGAACTGCTCAGTACCCTTATAATTGATGAGCAGGCGGTACTAACATAAAGTCATGTTGCATGCTGTACCAACGTGACCCAGAAGCCAAATATTTGGACATGCTGTTTAGATCCTTTTCCAAGGGACTATAAAGTCGTCCCTATGCCCTGGGAGGACTGGTTCCAGGACCACAATAGGAAACAATGCAGAGATGTCCAAGTCCCTTATATAGCATTGCCTGTAAACGACACAAACCCTCCCCGATATTTTAATCTTTAGATTACTTAGCATAGCTAATACAATCTGAGTGCTACGTAAATAGTTGTTATACTGTATTAATTAGGGAATACTGACATTTAAGAAATCTACTCGTGCTCAGTACAGAGGTAATTTCCTCCAAAATATTTACAATTCAGGGGTGGTTGAAATCAGCAGATGCATAGTAACCCATGGGTATGGAGAGCCAGGTGGACATATAACACATTATACTGTAACTAAAAAATTAACTTAGTGATGTATCATTTACACACCATAATGATCATTTTTCTCAGGTGTGTAATTCGAAGTTTCGACAAACATGTACACAGTCAAAATATAGAAATTTCCATCACCCAGCCCTCTAACATCTTTCGGTCTCAATCCCTCGGCCCCCACCACACCACACCTGGTCCCTGGCAACTGGTAGTTTTGGCTCCATGTTTTTGTCCTTTCTGCCACGCGAACAATGATTCTGCAGCATCTGCAGGTCTGGAGTTCCCAACCAATAACCAAGTGCTGTTAGGCTTCAAACTGTACACCCCAGTCACTGATCAGTCACCTGGATGAGCACCGATAGTCTTTAAAGTGCAGGGCACTTGGCAGTCATTTCTCTTGCAGTTTTTCTTTTGCCTATATAATAATTCTGAGGAGAAAATACTATCCCTGCCCTGTAAGTAAGGAAACTGAGGCCCATGGATACTCTATGATGCTTTCTGACACAGGTTAGCAAATAGAACCAAAAGCCATGCAAAGCACTGACTTTAAACCCAGTGTTCTTATCGCAATACTATGAAAAACACTGGTCAGGGAGACTTTTCGCTAAGTTCCAAGCAGGGTCTACAGGAGGGTTTGAACCATCCCTCTTAAAGAAGACAGATGAAGCCAGTTATGCAGTGAGATCATCCCAAGGGTTTTCAGCAGCAGGGTGGACACTGGCTCTCGGGTGGAGAGGCTTGGGCAGTTGTCACCACTGATGCCTGCATAAGGTCACCTTGAACAGGGCTGGAGAAATGGAGAAGTTTGGCCTCGTGACCCTGAGCACTCCAGGTTTCCAGGCTTTCCCAGCCTTTGCCAGACTTCCAAGAGAACATCGAGTGCTTCCAGAACATCTTGGCCTTCGTCTGGATTCCACCTTTTAAGAATTTTCCCTGGACTCAATGGTTTGATTTAAAATTTGACATATTCTGAGAAGGTCCCACCAGTTGAAGAAGTCTTTAGAAAGATTAAAAGTGTTTAATTTTTTCCTCTTGGGGAATAAAGAGGTATTTCTTTGGAAGTTCTAGAAGAATGAAAGCTATTTGGAGAAATAATGGTGCATAGTCCTTAGGAATTGCATTTGTCTCTTATCACTGCTATTAAAAATGAACACAGATTTACCAGTTTAGGGTTTAGCTCAGTGGCACAAGCACCTGCCTGGCAAGCACAAGGTCTTGAGTTCAACTTCCAGTACCAAAAACAAACAAAACAAAACAAAGATTTAGTGGTTTACAACAACACCTATTCAGGGACTGAGGATATAGCTCAGTACCTACATGGCAAGCATGAGGTTGTAAATTCAATTCCCAGCACAAAAACAAAAATAAAAGCAAAAAATCCACCTATTTATTATCTTACAGCTTTGCAAATCCAAAGTTCAAAGGGAGCTTACTCCTTTCTCAACATTTAGTTTTCATTTAATGTCAACTCCTTCCCTAAAGCAAGACTGCTTCTCACCCCCAACCTAAATTAGTTTCCTCATTTCCCCATTTTTCACAGCCATAGAACACTTGTTACAAAGTGGCTCAACTTTTGCTCACTCATCCGCCCTTGTATGTTAAATCCTCATTGGCAAGTCTAGTTCCTGACACGTAGGCTTATAGCAGTTTCTTCTTCCCCATTCCTACTCTGTCCTTCCTCCCACTTTTATTCACTATTATTTCTTCTGTTACCTTTGGGTTTTTGTTTGCGAGAGGTCTCCGTATGTTACCTAGGATAGCCTTGAACTCCTGGGCTCAAGTGATTCTTCTGTCTCAACCTCCTGATAGCTGGAACCACGGGTTATATAGCTACTTGATTTCCTTTTTCTATTCTGAATGTGGAAACCTAAATCACTGACTTCAGACCCGCATTTTTAGGTCAAGTGCCCTCTGCTGTTCTCTCCCAAGCACTGGCTTAACTGCATCCCACAGGTTTTGATGTCACACTCTCATTTCCATTCAATTCAATATGTTTTCTATTTTTTTTTTTTTTTGGTTTGTTTTTGATGGTGGTGCTGAGATCAAATCAAGCCCCCATGGATGCTAAGGACACACTGTAACACTGAGCACATTTCCAGCTTATGAGCTCCTCTTTGATCTGTGGGCTAGTTAGAAGTACATTGTAGTTTCCAACTATATGGGAAATTTCCAGATATTTTTATTTATTTCAAATTCAATCACACTTTAAAAGAAAACTTTTTTGGTGTTACTGAAAATTAAACTCAAGGCCATTGCTCTGAGCTACATTCCTAGTCCTTTTTTATTTTGAGACAGGATCATCCTAAGTCAATAAATTGCCAAGGTTAGGCTCAAATTTGTGATGAATTCTCTTGCCTCAACCTCTCAAGAGAACGAGGATTAAAGGGATGCACCACCACATCCAGCAGAAAGCATTTTTTCCATGATCAAATCTGTTTAAAGTTGACACAACCCTGAAAGTGGCTTAAGTAAATATCTCATGACTGCTGAAAAGCATCCAGAGTAGCTTCTCAATAAATATTTTCTCAGGAGTCTGAGGTAAGAGAATTACTATTTCTAAGAGTTTGAGGCCAGCCTGGACCACAGAGTGAGACCTCCATCTCAAAATAAAAACAAATATTTATTGATGACATGAATGGATGAAACTGTTCCCACGTGTGTGTACATGTGTTCATTCTAGCATTCCAGGAGAACTGATCCCAGAAGTGAAATACTGCCAGATCGCCTTCTTAAAAGAATATACCACCTGACATCCCTACTTGAAAGAATACACACTATATCCTCATCATTGTTACCTTGAATGTTATTAATCTCCGTAAGTGTTGGTAATTGGACTAGCAAAACTTTTTAATTAGCATTTACAAGGAGCAGAGCTGAGAATATTTTTAGACATGTTTGCATTGGAGTTTCTTGTTGTTGCTCATTTTCCAATCAGGTTATTTTTTCTTATTGATACATAAACATTCTCTAGATATTATAGGTATCAATTCTGTGTTATCAAAGACTCCCATTTGTTTTTGGCTTCACTTAGAATATCTTGTAGCTTACAATTTTTGTTTTTACGGTCAAATCAACCTTTTTTGCTACAGTGTAAGGGAGGCCTTGTATCATGTCCTCCCTTTTCCTCCCAGTTCTAAGCTGGGCAGATGGGGACCAATTAGGGCCATAGGTCAGGAGGACAAGGAGTAAGCAGAATCTGGGAACCTGTTTGAAAGGTTGCTGAATACATGGTAGATTGGGGGCAGAGAGGAGATAAAGGGAATGGAGGACGAATAGGAAATGTGCTTTGGAGATGGAGTCAATAGGCTCAGCTGAGGCAGGGGCAGAGAATAGTAAGGAAAAGGGGATCAAGAGAAAGCTAGGCCCTCTTCTTAGCTACTGGGTGGGCTGTGGTTCCCCTGACTAACATGAGGACTTGGGGGCAGGACTTGAATTGGCAAGGACAAAATTGTCTATTTTGGACTTCTGGGTTTGAGTTGTCCTAGCTATCCAAATGGAAATGTCGTATGACATGGAAAGGTGTCCTCATGGGGCATGTGGTACATACCTATAGTCCTAGCCCTTAGGAGACCAAGGCAAGAGGACTGAAAACCCAAGGCCAGCCTATACTACATAGTAAGACACTATCTTTAAAAATGGAAGAAAAAAAGAAAGCCTAAAATTCACAAAGAGATCATGGCCAGCCATATAAATTTAGAAGTTCAGACACAATGATCACTTACAAAGATGCTATACTAAAGCTATAGCACTGGATGGAATTTCCTGGGGACAAAACATATACAGACAAGAAGCCCATACCAAGACTCAGAAGTTAAGACAAGAAGGACGAGAAGCCAGAAAAGAAAAAGTAAAGGAGTGAACACCAAAGAGGAAGAAATCTCAGGTGACTTTGGTATCACAGAAGCCAAAACAAGAATGTATTTGAAGAAGTTAACTGTCACTGAGCACAGCAGGATACACCTGTAATGTCAGCAACTTGGAAGACTGAGAGAGAAGGATTGTGTGG